CAGAAGCCAGTGCTCCCGTCCTCCCAGCTCTACAGGTGCTGGCGCAGCTCTGCGAGGACCCGCTGTCGGGAGGTGTCTCGTGGGGTGGGGTGGGGCGGGGACAAGGACCTTTGGAGGCTCGCTGTGTGGTGTTCGGGACGAGGTGCCTTTGCACGTGGGGAAACCCCTCACAGGACTGCAGTGGTGGGACGGAACAGGTCAGGGCGCAGGGTGCATTCACGGGGACGGAGTGACGCAGACGGAGGGGGAAAGCTCGCTGCACCGGGAAGAGCACAGGACGGGCCCTGCTCTGTGGCCCCCTTTGTCCCCTGATGTGAAGTCAGGTCACACCCCCTGCTTGCCGAGCGGGGCTGCTTCCCTCCCGCAGCACTGGCCGCAGGCTGGCTCTCGGGCGTCGGGGGTCCAGGGGGCCACGAGACCCAGGGACAGACTTTCAGAGGCACACCAGCCAACCTTGGAGACAGGGGCCCCAAATTTGCATCCCTTCCCTCCCCTCTGGGAGGAGATGACGAGAGGCTTCCCCTGCACAGACAGAGCACATCAGCAAACCCCATGAGAGTGGAATTTTCTAACAAAATAAACTTGCTTGTTTGGTCTGTTTTCTGTAACTTTTGCTAAATACTTTATACATTTTTAATGTTAAAAAGCTGTGTCTCCTGCCAGCATTCCGCACCCCAGTATGAATGTGTTTACCCCACACTGTATATCCTTCCATCCCCTGGCTGCCTAGATCCATAAATAAAATTGATGTAATATAATTTATAAGTAACACTGTCGAAACTCCGATCCCCGTGGAGGCTGTAGCCCACCCTTCCCCGCCCCGGCCCCACCCCGTAATAGCATTTATGTGTATTAATGCTGAAGAATTAAATGTTTAAAGAGTTTAAATTTTGAAGGCGTTTGCTATATATAACTGTCCTGCATTATTATAAAGAGTTTTCAGGAAGTTAAATCCTCTCTCGTTTTTTTTCTTGGCTCTGTGTGTACACTTGAGATGCTTAGATTCATCCCTTGTAAAATAAACTGTCCAGAGACGCTGGGTCCCTCTGGGCGACCCTCCTTCCTGGAGGGCTGCCACATTCTTCTTTGCATGACCGGCCTCAGCATTCCTCCCAGGCTCTCAGGATTGGTGGCGACTGTACTCCTAATGACTTAGGAGTACAGAAGGGCAAAGGGCACCTGGACATCGATGCCCAGGTGAACACTACACTGCCGGCCCCACGCACCTGGCCCAGCCCCCCCTGGTGACTTCCCGCCTCTGTGGGCTCCAGCCTTCTGCTCCCTTCCACCTTGGGGGCTGCTGGCCCTTGTTTCTTTCCTCATTCATTCATTCAGTAATCACTGAGCATCTGTTACCTGCCAGACGCTGCTCTGGGTACTGGGAATGCATCGGCACATGAAACCAGCAGCCCTGCTCTCGTGGGCTTGCAGTCTAGCAGGGAGAGACAATAACAATAGCCCTAGTTGCGTGGGTGTGGAAGGCGTTACGTGCTATGGAAAAAGGACAGCAGGGCAGGGTGACGGTGGGTAAGATACGGTATCGACCGGGGTCATTGGAGTGGCCTCATTGAAAAGGTAGCATTTTGGCCGGGCGTGGTGGCTCACACCTGTAATCCTAGCACTCTGGGAGGCCGAGGCGGGCGGATCGCTCGAGGTCAGGAGTTCGAAACCAGCCTGAGCAAGAGCGAGACCCCATCTCTACTATAAATAGAAATTAATTGGCCAACTAATACATAAAGAAAAAATTAGCCAGGCATGGTGGCGCATGCCTGTAGTCCCAGCTACTGGGAGGCTGAGGCAGCAGGATTGCTTGAGTGTGAGGTTGCTGTGAGCTAGGCTGACGCCACGGCACTCACTCTAGCCTGGGCAACACAGTGAGACTCTGTCTCAATAAAATAAAAAAGGTGGCGTTTGGTCAAAGACAAGGCAGGCTTCTGGGGGATGTTCCCCGCAGGGAGGACGCCCAGGTGTCCGAGGCCAGCGTGGCTGGCGCAGAGGGAGCGGGGAGGAGGGGTGGAGGAGCTACGAGAAGGTGGGACAGGGCCAGGGCTGCCTTTGACTTCAACGCTGGGGGAAGCCACAGCCCGCGTGGGAGGCCTGGCGTCACGGCCACGGGCCTGCTGCACATCCGTAAGGGGCGAGAGCAGGGGCCCGCAAGGAGGCAGAGGCGACGCTGCCCGCGGGGATGGGTGTGATGCAGGCGGGGAGCGTGGCCGGGTCCAGACGCACTCTGAAGGTAGAGCCGAGCCCGTTTCCGGACAGACTGGGGCAGGGTGTGACTGAGAGAGAATCTCGGAGGGGAACGCTAGGGTTCCGGTCCCGGCAACCCAAAGGAAGGAGCGCCGTTTTCTGGGATGGCGATGGGTGTGGGAGGAGGGTTCTTCCCCTGCGCTGCCCCCCCACCTCCCGCAAGCCCCTTTTCCCTCTGCCCAGCCCTCCCTGCAGGTGCCGGTCCAGCCCCGCAGCTCCTGGCCCGGAGGTGGGGGATGGGAGGGGTGGGTCTGGGCCCAGCCAACAGCTCAGGCGGAACAGACCGGGATCCTCTGCCCGGAGACGGCGCCTGCTCCCCAACAGCAGTCTTTGGGGTTCAGAATTGTTTATGGCCCCAGCTCAGACTTAACAAATCCATCCACCATACATCATCTCCAACAACTTGTTTGGCTAAGGAGCATGAGCTCTCCCTCTGATAGAAGATGTTTACGCAGGTTTTCAAACAAACCTCCAGGTCGTGACCCTCCCTTTCAGCAGCATCAACACAGCTGCCTGCGGTCCCCTCCGGGGGCCCTCCCGGGCACAGCAACCTGGAGAATGTGGACGGCACCGGCTGCCCCGACCCTCAGCCAGCTCCTTCCTCCTCGCCCCTGCAAGGGACAGAAAGACTGGCGGGCGCTGGCTGCCTTCCGCCTAACCAGGGCCCCTTCCGTCATGCAACCCCGGCTCCTCACCGAGGCAGGGGAGGCTCTGGCCCTCTCGGGCCTCCTCTGGGAGAAGCTCCCTGGACCGAGAGCCTGCAGCCCCGGGCTGCGCCTCCTCCCGCCTGTGCCATTTAGCAGCGGCTGAGCCGGGCTGGCAACGCGCCTTTGGGGCCTCCGCTTCTGCCCCGTGGTGGCATCGGCCTTGCCTCACCTGCAGGTGTGTGAGGACGGGCCTGGCACCCAGGAGGCACTTTGGTCACCTGCCACTGGTGGCTCAGAGCAAGGGGCCACGGCCTGTGGCCTCACCCCCCTTCCGTCCCCCAGGGACTCCACAGAGAATGTGATTCCGCGTGTGGCCTGGGCTTGCCTGGTTGGTTGGTTTGTTTTCAAGTTGGTGGCTGTCCTGTTTCTCACTGTTCTTAAAAACAAATGCCTGCTACAGGAGAGTGGAAGTCTACAAGAGAAAGGATTCCTATTGAGAAATAACATTTTCACAAACTGATGAAAAAAATTAGAAAGTTCACACACACACACACACACACACACACACACACACACCCTCACATTAAGGTTCCTGGGAAACAGCTGACTTGCAGCGGGCAGGGTGGCCAGGAGGGGCGGGTCAGTGCCTCCGTGCCCAAACTTCTCAGTCCTTCCTGAGCAACAGCAGGTGGCTTCCTCCCAGCTGCGGGGACCTCATTCTCCTGCCATTAGCCTGCTAGGAAACACAGCACAAACCCCAGCTCAGCAGCCAGGAGACGGTGGGGGTTTTCTTCATGGTTCCCACCCCGGCACAACAGGAGGCAGCTGCCCATCCTCGGTGGCAGCGCGGGGGCCTGGGAGTGTCGTCCTCTAGCACTGTGCTCGGCTGAGAGCACCTCCGCCCTTCCCCCGGGTGACAAGAGTTCAGGCATGCGGCGCGGTCAAGAGGTGCTCCCTGTGCTCCGCGCTCCTGCAGGGCTGGCGCGGGGACGCAGGGCTGGCGCGGGGACGCAAGGCTTCCTCTGCCAGCTCCCCGTCCCGGCCCTGCGCTCTGTGCCCGTGCGCCCACCCCGCAAGCACGTGCCTCCAGCACCGCTCCCCGCTGCAAACGGCCGCCTGCAGGTTCACGCCAGCCACAGATACACCGTGTCTGGCCCACACCGTGCTTTTAACAAAATTTTGAATTAATTGCCAAAGCTTGAGGACATGGCAAGTGCATCTAAAACACTGATTCCTGGATTTCTCTTGGAAAAAAATTTTTTTTAAATCCTGCAACACTGAGCCACAAGCCTTTAAGACCGCATTCCCTGGCAGCCCCTTCCGGGCGAGGCGCAGGCCTCACCGCCCCCTGCTGTCCCTGGCCCACCTGCCCCTCTCAGCCTACCTGCTGCCCCCCAAGGGCACTTTGTCCTTTAATCCCTGAGATTGGTGAGTACCGAAAACTAATATGTGTGTAGCAGTAACTATGCGCTAGGTTCTACCCTAAGTGTGTTGCACTTACGAACTGATTTCAGCCTCACCACGACAGTAGGTAGGCACTGTTAGATTCATTCATTCGGGAAATATCTCCGGGGGGCCCACACCTGCCAGGCACTACTCCAGCAACGGAGCTGCCTCCGGAACAGCACAGACAAAATCCCGTCCTTCGGGGAGCTTCCATTCCGGTGAGGGCGCCGTTTGGGGTGTGCTCTTGTAAATAGAAAGGTTGGTGTAGGGCCTGGCTGAGACGAGACTGAGGCAAAGAATTAGGAAAAGAGCTGTTCCCAGGAGGAGAGAGGTTAAGAGGCGTGGCCGGGCCGGGATTTGAACCGCGCTGGCTGCAGGCCGGTGCCCCTCAGCACTGCAGTCTGGGGCTCGACGTGAAACGCCAGCCCTGGCCCGGAGACGCTCAGAGCCGGCGCGGAAGACAAGCAGGGGACATGGCTGCCCTTGGAGGCGGGGCTGGCGTGGGGCAGGCCTGGCGCCTCTCTGTTTTAATCTCAGGAGGGCTCTGGGAGCACCCCACCCCCAAGCTCCTCCTCCGTCCAAGGACTGGGAAGAACTGGTGGCAAATCCCCCTAATCCGCCAGCGTCTCGTCGCCATCTCACACCAGCGCCGAGCCCCGGCAGCCAGGGGACCACGCACGTCCCACCCAGCCGCCGCCCAGCCACTGCCCACTCTCCCTCACCCATGGGGAACAGCAAAAGTGGGGCCCTGTCCAAGGAGATCCTGGATGAGCTGCAGCTGAACACCAAGTTCACGGAGGAGGAGCTGTGCGCCTGGTACCAGTCCTTCCTGAAGGAGTGCCCCAGCGGCCGCATCACGCAGCAGGAGTTCCAGAGCATCTACGCCAAGTTCTTCCCGGACTCCGACCCCAAGGCCTACGCCCAGCACGTGTTCCGCAGCTTCGACGCCAACAGCGATGGCACCCTGGACTTCAAGGAGTACGTCATCGCCCTGCACATGACCACCGCAGGCAAGACCACCCAGAAGCTGGAGTGGGCCTTCTCCCTCTACGACGTGGACGGCAACGGGGCCATCAGCAAGAGCGAAGTGCTGGAGATCGTCATGGTCAGTCTCTCTCTGCCCTTCCCGCCGTGCTGGCGCGGAAGGGACAGGGCCGGGGGGCGGCGGGACGGGGGGACTCAGCCCCGGCTCCGAGAGTGCGGTAACGAAGCGCCTCCGAGATGCTGGTATTGCTGGAGGGCTGGGCACTTGCCCAGCTGCATTTTCTTTTTAAACAAGAATCTGGGTCTTTGCTAACACAGTCATGCGCCGCATGACATTTGGGTCAAGAGTGGACCATACGCGTGACGGTGCGCCCCTAAGATTAGAACGGCGCTGAAAAATTCCTATGGCCTAGTGACGTCATAGCCAGTGAGACCTCGCAGCACAGTTGCTTGCTTGCTTGATTTATTTATTTATTTATTTATTTATTTATTTATTTATTTGAGACAGAGTCTCACTTTGTTGTCCAGGCTAGAGTGAGTGCCGGTGGCGTCAGCCTAGCTCACAGCAACCTCAATCTCCTGGGCTCAAGCGATCCTGCTGCCTCAGCCTCCTGAGTAGCTGGGACCACAGGCATGTGCCACCATGGCCGGCTAATTTTTTCTATATATATATATTTGTGGCCAATTCATTTCTTTCTATTTATAGTAGAGATGGGTCTCGCTCTTGGCTCAGGCTGGTTTCGAACCCCTGAAATCGAGCGATCTGCCCGCCTCAGCCTCCCAGAGTGCTAGGATTACAGGTGTGAGCCACCTCGCCCGGCCATGTTTTTTAAATAAATTTAGTGTAGCCTCAGTGTACAGTGTTCAAAATGTCTACAGCGGTGTACAGCAATAGGCCTTCACATTGACTCACCACTCACTCACTGACACCCAGAGCAACTTCCAGTCCTGCAAGCTCCATTGGTGCACCTTAAGTGCCCTATACAGGTGTATACCATTTTTATCTTTTATACCAGGGGTCTTGAAACTTTTTAAACAGGGGGCCAGTTCACTGTTCCTCAGACCATTGGAGAGTGTGCCCTATGGGCCCGGGATGAGTCGGCTGCTAAGCAGGACAGGTAGTGGTGGCAAAAACACCCAGAGGGCGAGATAAATGTGTTAGGCGGCCCGTATGTGGCCCGAGGGCCGTAATTTGAGGACGCCTGTTTTATACCATATTTTTACTGCACCTTTTCTATGTTTCGATATATTTAGATTCACAGATATTTACCATTGTGTTACAATTGCCTACAGTAACTCAGTACAGTAATAGGCTGTAGAGGTTTGTAGCCTGGGAGCACTAGGCTACACTGTAGCCCAGGCGTGCAGCAGGCTGAGCCGTCTGGCTTTGTGTGAGTACACTCTACCGTGCTCACACAGCGACAAAATCGCCTGACAACGCACCTCTCGGAATGTGTCCCTGTTGTTAAGCAGCACATGACCGTATTCACATTTTTTGTCTTCCTCCCTCCCTCCGTCCCTTCCATCCCTCCCTCCTTTCCTGTTTTCTTTATTAAAATGTCCATTCAAAATTCTCAGCAGTCCACAATCAAATTCCATCACAATTAATGTTAAACACACAATATGCTTCAAATATAAAGTAAAAAGAGGTCGGAGTTGGGGACATGAGCCCTGAGTGCTGGTCCTAGCGTTCTTCCTGACATGAGGGGGGTCCCCGCTCGGCGAGCTGCGCACCTGCCACGTGCCCTAGCTCTGCCCACTGTCTGCTCGGGCTCCCGCGGGTTCCGTGAGAGGCGTACACGCTTCCACCTGCTTCCATCACACGTGCTCCTCTGTCCATATTGCCCTACTGTCAGATCATTTGGGGGAATATTTTAGGTGTCTCAAAAATAGTTTTTATCTAATATGCAAGTCAGTCATGAAGTTTAAAAACACGTGCAATTGAAAATAAAAATTGCCTTTAATTCCAACATCCAGAAAAACATCTGTTAACATATTAGTGTGTACCTTTATAGTTTTTTATCTATTAATTTATCTATTTTATTATTTATCTATCTATTTTATATATTTTATCTATTTTATTTAGATAATTTGAAACAATTTTAGAGCTGTGACATATTTACATTTGATTTTTATCATACTTTTTCCGTTACTCTTTTATCACGTGTTGTCCATATCACTACATAGTCTTCAAAAACATTTTAATAGCTGCTTAGCATTCTAGCTTACATAAATGCCATAAGATTATCTAACACTCCTATATTTTTGGACACCAAGGCATTTGATTTCTTTCCTATTACATCAGCTCTAGTCTCCTTCATTTCATATCTTTTTACTGACTCTTTTTTAATTCCCCCGTCCCATGCCACTTGCTTTATTTTTCTAATTCTATCCTCTTAGTAGGGAGAATGTTGTTCGTGATTTATATAGTTTTTTTGTGCATTTGTAATCATGCTTTCATTTGCAGAGTTCTTCCGCCCTTATTAGGAGAAACCATAAATAAAATAGCCAAGCATGCGTCTTGTGGCCAGTGGGCTCATCCTCGGTGCTCAGCTTAGGGCTCCCATTAGTGGCAGGCATGTGCCCCCCCCATCATCGTCTGGGCACAGTCTGGAGAGCAAGCCCCCCTGGAGTGGCTGTGGAGTCTCTGGGTGGCCTGGGACAGGGACCAAGTCTTCAGAGCTACATAAGGATGCTGGGCCCAGCAGGAACCTACAAGTTGGTGCTCCTTGAAGAAAAGGAGGAGGAAGGGGAGAGACGGAAAGGAGGAAGGGAGGGAGGAGAAAGAAAGAGGGGAGCAAAGGGAGGGAGGGAGGGCGCATCCGGGGCCGAGGCTGTACAAGGTGACAGAAGGCTCTGCTGTTCACCAGATCACAAGGCCAGGGACAGAGCACTGGCCCGGAGTCAGATGTAGAGGGTTCCAGTCCCAGCTCTGATACCTCCTAGCTGTGTTGCCATGGGGAAACTACACAACCTTCCTGGGCCCAGGTGATGATGATTCAATGGTTTTTGCAACCTTTCCTGAGGCTCTGACGGTCTGTCCTTCCGTGCTGGAAGGGGGGTGGGTAGGCAGGCAGCCACTCCCGTGTCCAGCTGCCATACCTGCACACGGTGCCCATGGCTCAAGACACAGATAGGAGTGATGGGGCCACTACACTTGCCTCCCTCCCGGGGCTGCCGGGAGCTGCCGGGTTTGATCTCCTTGTTCCTTTGGTTATAGCAGCAGCGGGCTGAAAGAGAACCTCTCAGAGCTGCTGACCTAATTTCACAGGCATCACTGCCCTTGTCTGACCTGTTCCCAGTGTCTCCAGGGAGGCAGAAGGCTCTAGCCAGAGCCAGTATCCTCCCAATTCCCACCCAACACACCTGTCTACACTCCTGTTGCTGCCCCAGCGTGCAAGGACCCTTGAGCGTCCTCCCTGGGCCTGGCTAGCCCTGGTGCTCCTGAGCCCGTGGAACCCTAGAAACCTGGAGCTTGAAACCAGGTGCACGGAGCCACCTTGTCCCTTCCCCTGATCTCACAGGTCTGGAGGCACTTCCTGCCTTGCACACCTGGCTCCTTCATTGCAGAGAGGAGGAGGGAGGTAAAAAGCATCCTTGAGCCCAACGCTAAGCCTTTCTCCGGATCCTCCTGAGCCGAAGGTTAAATGGGAGCTTCCTTTGGGAAATTCTTGTTGCCACCTCCCTGTCCCTTCCCCAGCCTGGCCAGTGCCCGCCGGGTGTCGCAGGTACGCGGAGGTGAGCAGTCTACGGCGTAGCACAAGACTGCCGCCTGAACAACCAAACTGCGCGGGTTAGAATCTGCACTCTTCTACCTCTAGCTGGGTGGCTTGTAGCAAGTTCGTTGTCTCAGTTTCTTCGTCTGTAAAATGGGACCAATACTACCTATTTCATAAGGTTGTCATGAAGGTTAGATGTAAAAATGTTTTAAAAAGTGGCACACATTAAGTGCTCAACAAACGCTAGCCATTATTGTCATGAGCTGACCCTGCTGGGCAACGGGGGTACCTTAAGGACCCGAGAAAAAGCTCTGGGCACTGGGGTCTGAGGTTGCCATTCCCAAACTCCAACCTCAGGGCTGCCATGGGATTTTTCCCTGGAAAACTTTCAATTCTTATTTGCTTTCTTTATATAAATGAAAGTAATATGTCTACATGGTCAGAAAATTCAAAGTACAGAAAGATATAAGAAGTGAAAGCCTTCTTCACCCTTCCCTGTCCCTCATGGAGCTCTCAAAACACAACTAGGACTCGGATTCAGTGGATCAAACAGCGGCATCTGTATTGCAACCATTGCCTTAGGGGATGCCTGGTCGTCCAGCCCATCTGGGCACTGAGAGAGGGACACTGTGTTGGAAGTGACCCAAGGTCCCCAGTGTGTTTTCCGTGATGGCTGTACCAATTTACATTCCCACCAACAGTGTCCCAGGGCTCCCTTTTCTCACCCCCTTGCCAATACCTATTACCTCTTGTCTTTTTGATAACAGCTATCCTAACAGGTATGAGGGGCTATCTCATAGTGGTTCTGATTAGCATTTCCTGGATGATTAGTGACGTTGAGCACGTTTTCAGATACCCGCTGGCTACTTGTATGTCTCCTCTGCAGACATGTCTCTTCATGTTCTTTGCCCATTTTTTTCAGTTGGGTTATCTGTTCTTTTGCTATTGAGTTATAGGAGTTCCTTATACATTTTTTACATTAGCGCCTTATCAAATATATGGTTTGCAAATGTGTCTCCCATCATAAGTTGCCTTTTCATTTTGTTGGTTGTTTCCTTTGCCAAGCAGAAGGTTTTTAGTTTGATGTAATCCCACTTGTTTATTTTTGCTTTTGTTGCCTACGCTTTTAGTGTCATATCCAAAACATTATTGTCAAGACCAATGTCAGGAAGCTTTTCTCTTATTTTTTTTCTTGGAGTTTTACAGTTTCAGGTATTAGAGCTAAGTATTTGATCCACTTTGAGGAGATTTTTGTGCACGGTTTAAGATGTGGCTTTTCCCAGGGTTACCAGCCCTTACAGTTCCTTCTAACAAGTTCTTTCTCTTGATTTGGTGTAGGCTATTTTTAAAATGATCAATCCTGAGGATGTGAAGCACCTCCCAGATGATGAAAACACACCAGAAAAGAGAGCTGAGAAGATCTGGAAGTTCTTTGGAAAAAACGATGATGGTGAATTCCTTTTCTTTCATTGCCTTTGATATGGCAGTCTTGGGCTGTTTCCTGGAGACCCCAATAAGATTTATTCTTCTGAGTCATAGTGGCCAGGCAGGATGGGGACACCTCATCCCATCTTGCATTTCTGAAGGGTCTGTCTGAAGGGTCTGAGGGGGGAATGGCCTAAAGGGCATGTCCGACACCAGTTCCTCTGCTACCCCAGAGCTGACACTGCTAAAGGGAAGAAGGGAAGTGGCACCACACCCTGTGGCTTACGAAACTCCTTTGCTACCTGGGATTCCTGGGGGTCAGCCAGCTGGGGGGAGGAAGTTCTAAATTATGGAGTGCTTTTGAAGAAAAACATCTTTTGTTTCAATAGAGTTAGCCTATATTAGTGAATAGTAAAAAGTAAAGGCAATAAGCTCTGTAGCAGTTTGCATGCAAATGGTGAGTTTAGAGGAACTGCAGATCCCTTTCTCTTTAAATGGGGAGTCCATTCTTTGAACACGTTGGCTTACTCTACTTATTTTTAAAAATGCTTTCTGCATGATTAGGATAAGGGCAAAAACTTCAGCTCAGCCTAGCTTTGATTTAACATCATGTCCCAAGTATGTGGAATCTAAATTTATGTGGTTTTACTCTAGGAAGTTCGTTTGGGTCCTCAGAGAAGCATCACTCTAGACTGCTAGAAATTTATGGGAGAAAGACTGGTGAGGGAAATCGGGAAGAAGTCTACAGGGGGCTGAGGAAGCCACCAAACTGCCATGCAGGGAGAGAGGGAAGGAAGGAAGGTTGGGTAAGAAACGTCTTAGATGCAATGTATTCTGAGAAAGTGTGGGCAGATCTGGTGGGGTGTCCTCAGCTGTCTTGGTGCCCCTGCCTTGATCAGTTGGTGGCTGGAAACAGCCCGCGAAAAGCATGGCCTTGCATTGAAAGCAGTGATGGATTCCAGAACTAGGTAGCTGGTTCTGTTGGTCCATGACACTCACAGCCAACACAGGAAGGGAACAGCAAAGGAGTTGGTGTCAGGCCGGGGCTAGAAACTTCCGGGCCAGAGGGGCTGGAATGACGAAAATGAGTCATGTAGACAGTAGCCCCCCAAGCGATGGAGACTGGCTAATAGCAGAGCACGCATGTCTGGTCTGATTGCTTCCAGCATATTCCACATGGGAATATGGGTGTCACATCATCTGATTATTTTTAAAGAGAAGCTAGCCAGAGAGATTTTCAAAATCTGAAATGTCTCAACGGATAAAACACAGCACGGCTCAGACACATCTGAGGGGCCAGCACTGGCCCCCTAGGTGACCTCTGGGAGCAGTCTCTTAGCAGCGTTCAGGAAGAAAAACCTGAGCAGGACACTAAACGAGGACAGAGAGATGATCCTGTTTCTACTAATCTGCTGTCAAATGATGGAGTCAGAGAGGCATGAAGGTCGTGGGGATGGAGACGGGGGTGAGGTGACGAGGGGCACAGGCTCTTAAGAGGTGCTCACCCGCAGGTGCCAACACTGCACTCACGTGACCCCAAAGTGAGCACCCCCTGAGACCCTGTGCCGGAGCACTTCGAGCACCTTGCCCTCATCCAGCCCTGCCTGGCTCCTCTCCCTTCAGCAACTTCTCCTCATTTGCACAAGTCCTGGCTGCTTAAGGGGACTTCCTTTGGCACTTCACCCCACTGGCTCGCTAACCCCCTTCGCAAGCTCTCTCTGGGTCTGTCCATGCGTTAAGTCCTGTGTTTTGCTACTTGCTAATCTGAAAACTGACCCAAGTGAACATCCCAGGAAGGGATGGTGTCTCAGAGCTGACGTGTTACTCCCGCGGGTGACGCGTGTGTGACGCGTGTATGTGTTTCCACGTGACCCCTCTGGAAAATCGCCTTACCACAGAGTCAGGCTCTGATGATGGGAGTTTCAAGCTCTGTGTGAGGCTGGGGGTGGGGTGGGGGGGCGACTGGGACTTTAAAACCCAAATGTTCCCACCCAGCCTTGTGCAGGGAGCCAGCCTGGATCCTGACCCAGAAGGCATTAAGGGTGCCCAAAAGGTCCAGTGCACAAACCAATGGAAATCAAACTCAGTGCAGCAGAGCTTTCTTGAGCACCTACTATGTGCTGGGCACTATGAGCACGGAACCATGAGCAGAGAGGAGCAGCTGTCTCACTCTAGCGTTATTTCTACGTGTCACTGACTTCCCCGTCAGCCCCACCTGGGGAGGGACTTTACCCCACTCCCTTCTGTTGCACGCCCGCCTCCACCCCTGCAACAGCCTCAGCCCCGAGCACGGTGGCATCTGGGCTCCGGAACTCGCATGTAACCGATTGCTCTGAGTACGGCGCCAGCTGGTGAAGGCACTGGGAAACCGAGTCCTGACACGGAGTGAGGCGGCAGGCCAGGGCGGGGTGTGCAGACGGACACGCAGGAAAGAGGCGTCAGCAGCTGTCGTCCAGGAATGGCGGGGCTGCCTGTGTGTTGCGGGGGCCAGAGGGACCCCTCACTCCCTGCTCCCTGGGGCAGGGTGGGGCATCATTCCCCGCTTCTTGTTTGCTTTGCTCAGCCCCTCAGACGTTCCCCCAGAATTTGAGGCTTGAGACTTGAACAAATAGTGAATACGTAGTAATTATGAATGGTAATAGTTATTACGCAGACATTTAATAACCAGCAAGGCATAATAAACACATTCACACTGGGGATGCCAGCCGGATGCCAGCCTCGTGGCAGCTTGTTAGGCCATCAGTCCTGACTGTTACGCGTATTTTTCCCAATGCACAGATAAACTCACAGAGGACGAATTCATCGAGGGGACCCTGGCCAATAAGGAAATTCTGCGACTGATCCAGTTTGAGCCTCAAAAAGTGAAGGAGAAGTTAAAGGAAAAGAAACCCTGATGCCAACTGCTCAGCTCCGCCCACCACTCACAGAACACCTGTGACTGCACATGTGAGACACACACACACACACATGCACACACACACACATACACGCACATGTGCACGCACACGCATGCACACACACACACACACACACATGCGCTCACACACCCAGGGCCAAGAGAGGTCTGCAAACCCACAGCACAGCTCCCTGCCAGACAGAAGCGTGCTTAGCAATCCACCGGTTCTTTCTTCCCGTCTCGAGTGTCCCTCCTGTCACACCCCACCGGCCTCCCTCCCTCCACCCTCCCAGCCCATGGTGGCCCTGTGATAATCCCAGATTAGGTCGTAGGAGCCCTAAGTACCCTCCGTGTAAGCTCCTTTGTGGAGTGCAGGGTAAGCAGGTTCTAATAAACGCGAGGGGAGCCGAGCATGCCCCAGGCTGGTCATTCTTCCGTTGGAAAAGGAACCAAGTCGCACCGGCTCACCCTCCAGGACGGGGTCGTCTTGCGACTGAGGGGCTGGGCCAGGGCTGGGCCTGCGGTGCCGGGCGACACTGGCACGGTCCTGCCCTCATGGGGCACTCTGTCCAGAGGGGAGGATGTCCAGAGCTCACTGTCCAGAGGGGGTCCATCCCCCTCTGGGGGGAGGATGGACCCCCTCTGGACAGTGAACAGAGAATTCAGGAACAGTGGCTGAGGTTACCATGGAAATGTGGAGAGCACGTGGGAAGACACGATGGGAGGAACCATCAGGGACGACTTTTCCTGCCTTAGAAGGACTTTTAAATTCAGGCCCAACAGGCCGTGGGGGTCCGTGTCTCACACAGAGGGTGGCCGACACAGCACTGGGGGGGGGCGTCACACCGTCCAGGGCCGAGAGGGGCCCAGGTGGCTGGAGGGCGGTGGAGGCAGGGGTGAGCCACCCCAGCACCCCAGGCTTTCCTGCAGGCCGGGAGGAGAGGGCGCAGGGCGGCGGCAGGGCCGTGGCCGGGTGCCGGTGATCAGCGGGGCTCTCGCCTCTCCCAAGGAGGGAAACGTGGGGAGTGTCACTGATTTCAGCAGATGGTGGTGGGATCGGCCCAGCATGGAGAGTGAAGGGAACGGCCATCGACATCCCTGAGGCCCCACATCTCAGAGACGAGCAGAGGGAGGCCCAGCGACAGGAGGCAGCTGTGCAGGCTCAGCCCGCTGATGAGCAGAGGCCAGGCCAGGGCTGCCCACCCCACCACCACCTCCTCGGGGCTCCAGGCCTGCGACACCCGGGAACTCCAGCCTTGCGTCCCAAGGCGGATGCCCTGGACTCTCGCCCAGCGTGTATGCAGCCTCCATTCCCTGGTGTTGTGGGTGACCCCCACCTCCCCGCTGCGGCCACGGCCACGGCACGATCGCCACCGCCAGAGAGCGCTGCTCTTTGTGGGGCGTGGCCGTGAGCACCAACACGTGCACAGCGTTTCCTGCGAGCCAGGCGTCATGCTGGACCCCGTGCGGCGGCATTTCATTGACGGAGGTGTTACTGTCTCCATGGCACAGAGTGGGACACTGAGGCCAGGAAGGGAGGCTGGGATTTGTATTCAAACTACAGTCCCCTTGGCCACCCCAGGCTGCCCCAGCGGTTTTGACCTGCACACGAGAGGAGAGAGAGCGCGGGGACGGCACGGCGTCACGAGGGACGGGAGAAGGAGCCTGCACAGCACCCAGCCCAGCGGCTCTGGGAGGAGGAGGAGGAGGAGGAGGGCTATTATTAGAATCACCTGCCCAAGGCACGCCTCTGGGGTAGACTCAATGGGCCTCCCGGGAGCCAGGTCAGGGGGAGAAGGAGGCCCTCGGGTCCAGCCTGAGTGGTCTAGGGGCACAACCAGAGTGCTCAGTGCCTTCCTCCAGTGATTTGCACCACCCTCCACGGATGGGTCTGCTTGCTCGGGGCATGAGGCTGGGGGCGTTTCGCTTCTCTCTGAGGCCAGGGTATCATCGTCACTGAGTTAAAAGGACAGACACTGTATAATAATATCGTTGTTGGTCTGTGGTTCAATGAAAGGCATAAAAAAGGGAATCCCTGGAGCCTCTATTATCCAATGGAGAACCGAAGAGTAATATCCTAATTAGCACCTCCTCTGTTAGCTTAGGGCGGAAGGACCACCTGGCCCTGGACCTCCTGTCTGTGCAGCTCTACGGCACGGTGGGAAACGCGCAGGGGGCAGCGCAGAGTCCCACTTGGCTGGAGGGAAGAAACGACAGTTGAGGTGACGATAAGCTACTCATCGTGACTCTTCCAGATGCAAAGGACAGAACACCCAGCACAAACTGCTATGGCAGAAACAGAAATTGAGCAGCTCTCATAACTTCAAATTCCAGGAGTATTGGTAGCCCCAAATCTGGCTTAATGCAGGGGTTCCAACCATGTCACAGGGTTCATTTTTCCATCTCCTGGTTCCGCCTTCTGCAGCCACCACCATTCCCAGATGGGCCCTCCCCATGCTGGCGGGATGGGCACCAGCAGATCCAAGCTGACTTCACAGTTCCAATTTCAGCAGAAAATAGAAAACACGTTTCTGTCAAGAGTCCCAGCCAAAGTGTCAGGATCACTTCTGGCTGCCTTTGATTGGCGGCATGCCCATCCCTGCCCTGATGTCTGCCGCCAGGAGGGTGTGGCACTCCCCTTGGCCAAGCACCATCCCTGAAGCTGAGGATGGAGTCAGGACAACTCAAGTTTTATGGACTGAGAATGGGAGATGTGTGGTTTCCAAGAAGAAAATTGGGTGAGAAGCGTGAATTCTCAGAATAGATGTCCACTATAGAGACCTCGGGGAAGTCATCTCGTGTCTCTGAGTTCCAGCTTCGTCATGGATGTGTAAACTCAAGGGCAGAAACAGGTCTCATTAGGAACAATAATCCAACCTCCCCTGGCCCCTGTGACCAGCTGCTCACATAGAACCTCAGCCCCTTGGGCATTTCTTAGCATCCCAGGAGATTCGCCAGGAGGTCCCTTCGTGCGTGCCAGGTGCCACTGCCTGCCCCAGGCACACACTCCTGCCACAGGCAAAGCTGCAGTGCTCCCAGCACAGCCACGCTGTGTGCTAGTCTCCGGGGAGCCTTCTAGGCCAGCGTCTGCCAGAGTGGCCCCTGGGAGTAGCATGTGCCCCAGAAACTGCTCTTCTATGACAGCTTTTGTCAGCGGCTTCTCTCTGTCATGCAGCTCGGACATTGTCCGTGGAGCCAGGTGGGGACGGACACCATGCTGCCGTCCACTTCTCCCCAATTTCTGTTCCCTGGCGGTTACACAAACCTATCAGAGAAGCCCAGACGAGTCATGTCTTAGGCTCCAGCAAGGAGACCACCCCTTAAAAACCACAAAACTGGGCCAGCCGCACCTCACGGACTCCCACTGAGAGTGGCGAGGATCAGCAGCGTCTGCTCTTACGGAAGAATTTCTGAGTTCTCACTGCTGCGCAGAGGCAAGGCTCCATTTATTTGGACTTCAGCAAGGTACGTCAGTTTCCGGAGAAGGCTTCACCTCCGTCCCCTCTGCCTTATCCAGTGCTCCCACATACTAAAGTTTTTGACACCAAAAGCATAGGCAGCAAAAGAAAAAAAATAGATAAATGAGACTTCTTCAAAATTTAAAATTTGTGTACATAAAAGGGCACTATCAAGAAAGTGAAAAGACCATCCACAGAACGGGAGAAAATATTTGCAAATAATATATCTGGTAAGGGATGAATGTCCAGAATATGTAAAGAACTCCTACAATTCAACAACAACAGAAAACAACCCAACTTGAGAAATGGGCAAAGACTTGGATAGACATTTTTCTGAAGAAGACATACAAAATGATCAATAAGCAAGCACATTAAAAATGTGCTCGAAATCATCAGTCATTTAAAGATGCAAATCAAAGCCAAAATGAGATACCATTTCACAGCCATGAGGGCAACTATTATCATTAACAAAAAAAATGGAAAGTAAAGGTTGGCGAGGACGTGGAGAAATGGGAACCCTCGTGCATTGCTGTTGAGAATATAAAATGATGCAGCTGCTGTGGAAAACAGTTTCCAGATTCCTCAAAATGTTAAACACAGAGTCACCATATGATTCAGCAGTTCCAGTTCTAGGTATACTCAAAAATTTGAAAGCAGGAGCCCAAACATATTTATACACCCTTATCCATAGCAGCCTTATTCACAGTAGCCAAAGGCGGAAACATCTCCGGTGTTGATGAATGGATGGGTGGATGAACAAATGCGGTAGGCTGCATGCTATGGAACATTCTTCAGCCCCAAAAGGGAAGGGAATTCTGACGCATGCTACAATATGGATGGTCCTTGAGGACACTATGCTAAGTGAAGTAAACCAACCACAAAAGGACAAATACTGTGTGATTCCGTTTCTGAGATGCAGCTAAAATAGGCAAATCGATAGAGACAGAAAGTAGAACAGAGGTTACCCGGGGGGTGGAGGGGAGGAGGGGAAGGAAGTTGTTGTTTACTGGGTGCAGAGTTTTAGCTCAGGAAGATGAAAAGAGTTCTGGAGATGGATAGTTGTGATGGTCCCACAACAAGGTGAATGCACTTCATACCGCTGAACTGTTCACTTAACAATGGCTAAAATGCTGAATTTGATGTGATGCATATATCTTGCTACAATATAACTAAAATCACTCAGAAACTTATAAAAATACTAATTCCCAGGCCCATTTGGACCAATTCAATCAGAATCTCTGGAGTCAGAGACAGCCCTTGGTCTTTTTATAAAGCTTCCCAGGGGCTTGTAACGCCAGGATTGAGAAACACTAGGCTGGACCTTCAAGGCAGTGAGTTCACTGAATGATCCAGAAAGTGGGTTAAAAAAGGAGCAACAGTCAGACAGTCACTCTTACCTCTGCTTCCGGCCCCTCCCCTCTGCCCACTCCTCTGGCTCCAGAGACCAAATTTAAGACAATGGACCACCCAGGACCCTGGCTAAATGCCACAGCCCCTTGTCCCATTTCTGGCCAGGAATAGTGCACCAGATTCTCCAGGGCTGGGAGAGAACTTCAGCTCCAGTGAGAAACAAATGTAAAAGAATTGACAAAATGCAAATCAAATTAAATAAACTTTTTTTAATCATCAGCAGGACAAGAGCAAGCAGCGTGTGGAGAGAGAGGTGGAGGACGTATTGGCAAATGCTTTGGGTGGGGGGAGCATGTTTTGCCTAATAGGGGCAAGATCCCGGATCAATTACTCTCAGCAGCATCTAATGCTCCCGAGAGACAGCTCTGTGCCGTGTCATTCGAGGAATGCGTGTCAAGCACCTAGTCTGAACCGGCATTGTGCGGGTACTTGCCGAGAATACGCGACGGCCCAGCTTTCTAGGAGCTCACAGGCTGATGAGCCAAGGCAGGGGCATTTGCAGAAAAGGCAAAATTAGAAGCACATATATTTTAGTGACTGAACCATGAATAATCTGGACACCAAACAGTAAGTCTCTGCTTCGTTACGCACTTGCCTAACACCTTTGCTTCCGCTTCCATCCTGCAAACCAAGGCTGGGAGGCACTCACCTGGGGGAAACGTGTAAGAGGCACCAAAAGGCCCCGTAGTCAAGATAAATGATATTTTTATGCGATTGTTTAAAAATCAGAATTGATGTTCAAAGTCCCCGCCTGATGAACAAAGTACCGACATTTCAGATGAAGTCAGGCTCGGAGCTTGTCCTCGCATGAGCTGGCCTCCCCCACCTCACCTGTATCCTGGCTCTACTTCCGGTAAAATTTTATTTCTATCAGTGACTCGCGGGCTGTGGTTTGTGGATTTGACTTTACAGACTATTGCATTGGAATATAATTTATTTCGCTCACTGAGTTCTTCAGAGGTGAGAGCCTCAGTTGTCTCACCCTCGTCCTGGCCCCTCTGCGGAGCACCCTTGAAAACAGAGATGCCAGGAAAAGACAGGGTGTGTGACTAAATTCAAATGTCAGATAAAACAGGTCCCATGGGAGACACTTACACAAGATTGCTTGTCTGAAATTCAAATGCAATCGAGTATCGTGGTTTTATTTGTGCACTATGGCAGCCCTGCTTGAGGAGAGTCGTAGCGGCCCCCTAGGATAAGGCAGTATTCAGTCTCACGGCAACACGCTCCACCCACGTCCACATGCACTTTCCACTCCGTGCAAGCGACAGTCCTGAGCACGAACACGCCGTTCTGTAGCATGGTCCTCCCTGTCCTTCCTCCAGCCTCTTGCCTTACAGCGTTGGTCTTTGGGCCTGGACCCTCCTCAGCCTCTGCGGGTCAGGGGCTGGCACACGACGCAGAATGCCCAGCAGCATGGCGGGGGTCTCATAGGCCCGGCCACTGCGGAGCCCTGGGTCTCTCAGTGCCACCCTGGGCATGTCCAGGCTGCTTTAGCACCTGCCCTCGGTGTCCTTTCCATCTGGGGAGGAGAATTCTTTCGGCGGGGACTCCGGTCAGGGAGCGTGGTAGGTAAACCTCCCAGAGCAGAAGGTGTGACCATCAACACATTGGTGCCAAACCAAAAGTGCCGGGGCCATTCCTTGTCCCAAGGGAATGGCAGAGCAAGTCAGGCCTGTAGAAGCCAAGCTCAGAAAGGCAGATGGAGCCAGAAAAGAGAGGAAAGGACCCAGGACGACATTCAGAGGGTCTCCGGGGAGCTGGGGCCAATCCTCACTGGAAGGATGGGGTTGTTACAGATCCACCAGAACCTCCGTCCTCCTGCATGGAGGATGGAGGCAGAGAAAGGGAGGCAGGGCTTGACGGGAGAGGAGGAGCAGAGGAGCAGGAGAGGAGTGGGGTTCTGGCGGGCGACACGGCTCACACAGTCCGAGGAGGGCAGCCGCATGGCAGCAGGGCTGGAAGGCAGAGCCCCTCTCTCCCTCTACCCTGCCGCGGCCACGTCGGGGGAGGGGGCCTCTGACCCCCACCCTGCCTAGTGTTTCCAGGCTGGGCTTGCATCGGCACTGGCCGGGACGCTTGGTAAACAGTTCCAATTCCCAGACTCACCGCTTAGAATCCCAGCCACCAGTCTAGGATTCCGCATCGAAAAAGCTTCCCAGGCCACGTGTGTGCACCTGAACCCAGCCCCGGCGGGAAACCGTGTGCCGCGGGGTGGGAGGAAGAGAGATTGTCTGGCCTCTCTCCTCACAGTGGGGTCCGTTCCCTTGCATTTAGGCCAGGCCCAGGCTCTCCTGGCCATTCTGGTGGGCGTTACCTAGTGGGTGACAAGGGCAGGCAGAAGGTGTGAGCGTCACACAGCCTCTTTCACACAGAGCTCGAGGGACTTGAGACAGACTTCTGTCAAAGAGGCGTGGTGAGCGGGAGGAGGGCAGTTCTGAGCTCGGCGACTTCCATCCTGCTCTGCCCCCTTCCTTGGGCCTCTCAGAAGTCCCCAGAAGCAGAGGCAGAGCTGTGGGCTCCACCCTAGATCTCGCTCTCTTCCAGAATCTCCTCCATGGTGTTGGCCAGGGTGACATCCCCCTCGCTGTACTCAGACAGGCTGCCGCCCCGGGGCCAGGCTGCGTGGCCCTGGTGGGGCCGCGCTCCCAGCTCCCCCAGCCCCCTCATGGCCAGGTGCAGGAGCTGCCCGCGGTTGAGTGAGGGCTGCAGCTTCCCAAGCTTCTCGGCGCCATCTCCCTCCGAGAGCTTCTTGGGACATTTGCCCAGGAACCGGAGGTTCCTGCCCGGGCCGCAGGCTCTGCAGCCTGAGTGACGGGCCAGCAGGAAGCGGACCCAGTGCTTCCGAAGCTCGGCCTTCACCTGTCAGGACAGACGGGGCGGGGTTACCGTCTTGGAGTCGTTCTGCCGCGTGTCCATGCAGCAAAGATTTCTTGAGTAGCCACGCTGGGCTTCCCTTGGGAAATGTACCTTCTAACTGGAGGAGACCAGCAAAAAGAGGCAGAGACACGTGCGGACATCAGATGGCGGATGCTGTGAGACCATCAAGCAGGACAGTGCGGAAAGGAGACAAAACTGGAGACACGGAGGTCAGGAAAGGACTGTGCCAAGGTGGCATTTGAGCTGAAACCTGCCTCGGATAAGGAGCCCCTGCGTGAAGGTGCAGAGCAGCCGCAGTGGGCGAAATGGAAGCGGGTTTGCGGTCAGGAAGCTTGCATTCCAGTGGGAGGAGACAGAAAACTTATCTAAACCTGGAGTGGGGTAGGGGAGGCTGGAAGGAGGCTGGAAACTCACTAAAGATGGGAGAAAACACCTGTCCTGCCCCCGCCCCTCCCCCTTGCAGCCTTTCCCAGGGGAGCCGGGAGCTGGCCGGGCTGTGCAGTGCTATTAATGACAGTGACCGTAGCTCCCCAGTGCTCGGCATGCCTGGGGCAACACCATGAGGTAGGGCCGGTTATAATTCCCATTTTACCAGTAGGGAAACTGAGGCTAAACAAGCCATGGTGACATGCCTAACACACAGAGCTCCTAAGGGGGTGAACCAAGGCTTGAATCCAGAATTTTAGACTCCCAAGTGCAAGCTTGTTTCCTCCTCCGCACTGGAATGCCTCTGTCTCCAGTGGGGCCCGGGCTGGGTTCTGAACCTCCTTACACCCATCCTGACACCTTTTCCCATCCGTCTAAGCAGCCTCCTGTTCTCTCTGCTGGTGGCTCACGGTGCCAATTTGTCCCACCATGTGCTGGCCATTGCATGGTCCCCACAGCACCATCACGCCAACAGAAACCTCTGGGGCATCCCGCCGCAGGAAGCCGGGATGGCAACACGGAAATCTTACCTCTCCATTGGCAAAGCCATACTGCAAGGCCACTAGGAATCCCTGGAGCAGAAAGAAGACAAGGCATGAGATTTGACGCTGTAGATGTCTCTGAGAGTGACCGGCAAAGCCTAAGGGCCTGCCTCCGTCGGAGGAGCCCCCAGAAGAGGCATGCGACCACCCTGCTTATACTAACTGGAGCTAGTCATTCCTTCAGGTACACACGTACTGGGCAAGGCCACTGTCCCATTTCTACTTGTCCATAGTGAGCACTGGCTCATTTTCTTCTCTGACTTGCATCCTTCCCTTTTGGAATCTGACCCTCCCCTCCTCTCTGAGCTTCTGGTGGGGGGCAGGGCTGTCAATCATACGGTTCCCACATTCTAGGATGGCCGTCACCACAACCAGCCCAAACGGGCCTGGGACCCCAGCAGGGCCAACCAGAGTTCTGTTCACTGGGAGGGAGGAGAGTTGGGCTCTCGTCCCTGAGTTTGCCAGCTGCATAGATGATGCCGGCCAGAGACACTGGTGGGCATCTGCCCAGTCACGTGCAGAGCCTGTCTGAGGCTGACGCCCACACAGAGAAGAGCAGAGGCCCGAGAGGGTGACAGACAGATTTCTGACGCTACTTTCTGAGTACCTGGATCCAGCTATGCCTGGTCCTGAAATTTTCAGTTATGTAGGATAATAAATGCCCTTTTCTCTTGTGAGAATATTTCTTTTGAAATGATAGATCATCTCCCGCCTGTGCCCCGGCCTTCATCTTGTACCACACTCGCCCTCAGCCACTCTGTTCCAGCCACCGAGGCCTTCCGGCCTCCTCCGGCATGTCAAGCTTGGGTACTGGGAGACACTGAGTCTCCTCCCACTTTCTGTTTTCTGGACCATTCTTCCTCAAACCTCTGCCTACCTGGCTTCTCAAAATTCAGATCTTAGCTCAAATATTACCAAAAAGAGGTCTTTCCAGACCACCCAAGTTTTGTTAGAAGTCACCATCACAGAACTCTATTTTGTATTCATGATGCCACCAGAGCTATATTGTTACTTATTTGTTACCTGGTTGTTCTCTGTGCCCCCCCCCAGCTCTGGCCCCCCAACAAGATGAGCATCCTCAGCTAGTCTTTTCAACGCCAGATCCCAGCACCTAAAACCACGCCTGGCACAAAACAGGAGCTCAACAAACATTTGTTGAATGAATAAGTGAGTGAATGAATGAATGAATGAATGAATGAATGAATGAATGGGGTTTCTGCACTTACCACTACAAAAGAATCTTGCCTAGTACAATGTCAGATGTGACTACACAATTCCCTTTCTATTCTCTTCCTAGTTATCTAGAATTATGGACACAAGGATTAAAATGAAAACGATAGGCCACCTTTCTATGGCATTTTCATTTACAAAGCGTTTGTGTTGGGGAAGTTTCAATAACGGGATAATCTCTTGAATCTGGAACATTTTTCTGGACTCACTGTGTATCTGCCAGAGGTCTGGCATTGAAGAGGCTTCAGTTAATGGTTTTTCCCGCTTTTTCCCCAGACTTCTATGCGCCGTGATGTGTCAGTCCCGTGACAACCTACGCGCCCGGCCTTCCCTAACTGATCAAGGGCTGTGGGCGGGGCCGGGTGTCCGCTGCGTTGGAGCTGGCTGGGTGCTCTCAGGACTTGAGCGCTGGTGGGAAGACTCATAAAATGCCAGAAGTCACAGGCAAGGGCACTTGTTTAACTCAAGGGGGAAGGTCCCAGTGGCAGGGACCTCCAATATCTCAAGATGACAATGGCATGTGGCCCTGGGGAAGGGGTTTCTCCTCTTCCTCACATAAGCCTTGTCCAGCCCGTCCCTTCTGGAGCCAGGCCAGCATGTCTGTGCTGGCGATCACAACAACCCGACGTCGGATTCTGCCCATGAGTGTGGAATTTCCCTTCTCTTACGCACCAGATATTTCGTAGCTGTGGCTTCTGAACGGGGGCCTGGTGGCACCCGCTAACCATTTCCGCACATGCGCCCAGCAGAGGTTCGCGGCGGCCCTGTGCGGCCGGCACGACAGGCGATACGATGTTTGCCTCCGGGCACGTGGCAGAAGAGCTGCCTTTCGGTGTGCCAGAATGCTCAGAAACGAGTTGGCTAAAGTAAGATTTCACATGACAAATGTGTCTTTTCACTCCTTCAGGCTCTTGTTTTAGGAACATCCCAGAGCCTGGCTCTCATTCTAGATTAAGCAAGTGTGAAGGGAGTGGGCCCGCAGAACACGTGGCTCTCACCTCGTGTGCCACCACCCCTTGGCAGTCTCCCCTAAGCCGGATCCGCAGCGGGAGGCCGGTGGAACTCTCTACGCTGTGAGCCCTTGGAAGAGGGAAGGGCCGTCGGAAGCAGCAAGGGAAGGAAGCTTTAGGGCTAATATCTATTCTTGCTGATTCCCTAAGGTAATCCACCAAACGTGCCCCCACATTTGCCCACGCATGCTCTCGCTTCTGCCTGGTACGATGGAGGGAACAGTGCAGGGGCACTCAGAGGGTGGGAGGTCCCTGCCATACTCAGGCCCTCTAAGTGTATTTTCTGGCTCCCTGGCACAAAACACGCTGCAGAGTCACTCGGATTTGTCATATTCCTCAGTGGTGCAAGGTGGTGAACAGGGCTCTAGTTGCTGCAGTAACGAGCGGCCCACGGTGGTAGCTCATCTCCAGAGACGGCTCCAATGATTGCTCTTCTCTCTGTAGGCTCACTCTGCTCCTCAGCCTATGCCTTGAGAGAGCTAGAAGTTTCTACTTCCTCCATCTCACATTTGTTCTTGAGATGCGCTGAGAGTCCAGCTGCCCTGCTATGAGACACCCAAGATACACGGAGAGGCCAGAGGAGAGCTGAGGCTCCCGGATCTACAGTCCTAGCTGAGGTCCTGGCCGACAGCTACCATCAAGGTCTAGGTATGTGAATGAACCATCTCGGCTATTCTAGCCCAATCCAGCCTTCAGATGTTTGTAGCTCCAGCCAAAAAATATATCAAAAAGACCACCCACAGTGAGCCCAGACAACCTAGCTCAAAGAATCTTTAAAAATAATAAAATGGTTATTGTGTTAAGCCATGAAGTTTTGCTGTGGTTTGTCATACAGCCATAGATGACTAAAACATCCTCCCACGTTGGAGAAGTCTGATAGGCTAGCATTCTGCCTCAGAATTTTGCCTCACTTAGCTCCACCTGCATGTCTGGTCTTCGCTGGCCTTGGGTGTGTGAGATCAGGTGATCAAGGGCTCACCCTGGCCCACCAGGCCCGCAGGGGACAAAAGGCCACCAAATACTACTGACATAACAGCTGCAAGTGTTTGCTTTCATTTTGTTTTTTTTGTTTTTTTGTTTTTTTCTAATTTGGGATTACCTTTGAAAGAAGATTAAGGACAAACAACATAAAAAATCCAAATCACTAAATCTTAGCTTTTGAAATCCCCCAAAAGATTGAAATAAATTTAAACATGTTTTCATAATAAAAAAAAATTACTGATGAATCCCCTGTCTCAGTTCAAAGCCACAAAGAATTTAAGAGGGGAAAACAAACAAACAAACCATTGTCCAACTTCCCAGACTACACCTGCACCCCAGGCTCTGTCTCTTTGGCTGTTGGTGAGATGCGGTGGGCATGCACGTTTTCTCTGCTCTGCGCACAAAACCTCCCACCTGACCCCGTCTTGTGGCAGTGGTTTTAAGACTCAGATAGGGAACTTGGTGGCTCTGGTAGTAAGGAAGGAAGGAATGTAGTTGATAGTGAGAAATGAGGCTACAGAACCTTGACCCAAATAAAGCCAGCCCCAGCCATTTGAGCCATCCCAACTTCAGCACCAGACGTGTGAGTGAAGAAGCCATGTGGGAAGTTCCAGCCCCACAAGCATCACAGACGCGGAAGTCAGCCATCCCTACTAGAGCCTACCCAGATTCCTGATGCCTAGAATCATGAGAAATAATTTTTTAAATTGTCCTCTTTAAGCTACTAAGGCATGGACAACAATTTGAAGCAATAGATGATGAAAGTATCCAGGTAGCAACCACAGCTGGCCTCTTGATGCCAGTTTCAGCCCCCACACATCTGTCAAGGTTCAAGGACCTCCCAGTCTGGACCCACTAGTGCCCACCCAAGTGGTGCCGTGCTCAGTGTACCTGTCACCTGAAGCACAGACAAAGCTCATTTTGCACAATGCTCTGCAGAGAACCCAGCAAAAATAGGCACTTAATAAAAGGCTTCAAGTCGACACTCATAGTTAATAGGACCATGAGTCACATCAACTATTACAGCCCAGGGAAGAGACCACTTTTCCCTTCTTAGTCACCGAATCAGGCTGGCAGGATCAGGGCAACACTTCCCCACCTGCACGCCCTCCCAACGCCAAGGGCCCTCGCCGATAAAGCCTGCTGGTGCTAGAATTCTATTTTCATCCATGGCCTCTCTCAATGCTGAGCCTGTTTCCCCCAAAGCCAAGGCGCCATGCTGCAGACCCCTACTTACATGGAAGGAGCTCAATGTCAACTGAATGAAAAGTCGTACAAGTTTTGAAAATCCTTGAACTTGATCGTCAGTGATGAAGGAGAAGAGAATCTCGTGAACACCCAATAAAGGAATGAGGACCAGCGTTGATTTTGCCAATCTGTAAACGACAACCAAATAATGGTCATGAAGGCCATGCAGGAAATAGGCAACACATTCCCTGCTGTTCTGTGCACACCTTTCTTGTGGCTCTTATCACACTGACAAATTGCTGATTTTCCAGTTGGTCTCCTTAACCACACGTTTAATGCTTAAGGGCCATGGTGGCTGTGTTCACTGCTACATCCTGACACCTGGCGCGTGGGAGATGCTCAGGAAACATGAGTTGAATGAATGAATGAATGAATCCCTCCATATGGATTATCATTATCCTCTACGGATGCCTGCAGAGTTTAATGCTTTGCCTGACGGATAGATTTCCACTCGAGTAGCTGCCACCCTGGGACACTCCACCCCGACCAAGTTTGACAAGTTTCCCGTCGCCTGGCTAGCAGATACCTCTGTTTCTCTCTCTACCCAGGACTTTCAGCATCAATGCTTCCGATGTCGCCCTGAGAAGGGAGAGAAAATGAATTTCCCAGGGTCACACAGGCACTAAGTAGCAGATCTGCGCCTGGCAGTGGGGTTTCCGACTCACCTCCAGGCCCTACATACTCCACACACTGGGCATTGCTGTCAACCCTCGCATTGCCCCTCAACCCTGGCGACAGCAAGGGCTACAGGAAACGAAACACAGATCCTCCTCATAAAAACGTGCGGCACAGAGGTTCGCTGTTGTATATAGTCTACACACGTGAAAACGCAAACATTCCTTTGTACCACCCACGTGTAAAGAGCACAGCTGCGGCCCAAATGCTCCAAGCTGGTGGTTCCCAAATGTGGCTGACTATTAAAATTCCTTGCAGAGCTTTTAAAAAATATATATCACTTCCTGGGCTCTAGTGTCAACTCCATGAATCCAAACTTCTGGAAGTTGGATCTCAGGAATGTGGAATATTTAAGGAACTCTCATGGGATTTTGAGAAGCAGCAGGTTTGGGAGTGCCTGAGCTTTACCCCGTTGAGCTGCTTGATTTAAAACTAACCACATTAGCAAAGGTGATTCATATTCAGTGTACAAACAACGCTACTGTCTTATACACATTAGAAAGTAGAGCTTAATTGTGATGATTTTTTAGGCCAAATAATTTCTCATAAAGGGCCAGACTAGGAGGAGGTTTCCTCCCAAATCCCAAGGAGTTAAAGATGTAGACATGGGGTAGCATAAGAAGTTCATGCGCAGCACCTAAGTGGTCACATAGGTGCTACAGTAATAGGGTATTGGGCAGGTGGGAGGGGGGAGGGGGTGGGTATATACATACATAATGAGTGAGATGTGCACCATCTGGGGGATGGTCACGCTGGAGACTCAGACTTGTGGGGGGCGGGGGGGAAATGGGCATTTATTGAAACCTTAAAATCTGTACCCTCATAATATGCTGAAATTTAAAAAAAAAAGGAATAGGAAAAAAAAGAAAAAAAGAAGTTCATGCGCAGTTTCTTAAGGGAGGTTTAATCCATCCAAAAGAAAGAGCTTACTGTGAATCCTGTCTGCGAGAGCCATTCCAATGCAATATTATCAGTGAAACACACAAATGAAAACTCACCTTTGTGCACGGAAAGCATCTAAAGCCAGGAAGAGGAGGGCAGGAGGCCACGAAGAAGGGGCTCCACCCGGCCGCAAGGCTGCATGGACCAGAGCCTTGGCTGTCAGGGGAGGCCAGTGAGGTGGGGGGGGAGTCGCGGGCCGAGGTTGTGGGGCTCTCCTGAGCTGAGCTCAGATCCATGCCACCCCACCCCCCATGTGGGAGTCACTTCGCTTGGCAGCAGTAACGAGCCCCCAGTGAGAGACTATTTAGAGGGCTTTGTATTTCCAGGAGTGTTTTTAAAGCCCTCTGGCCCAGAGGTTGCAGAGTGGCAACCACGGGTGGCCTCTGACCTGTAGAAAGCTTCTGCCAGACGGCAGAGTGAGTCTTGCTCTTGGAGCCATCTTCAGATGCTAAGGAGCTTTCCAGCAAACAGGTCAGAAGACCCTCGTGTGAAAGATGCCCTCCGTATACCTGGAGGGAAGGAATGTCCTAATTTCTCAAGACACAGGGCCACAGAAGACCCTGAACACACAGGCCTTCTAAGCTCCCAGTCCATTGCCATTAGCTCGCAGCCCTCTTGTCCAGTGATGCTTCTCCACGGCTGTCCACTCCTCACCAGTCCCAGCACGAAAGAACACGGGAGAGGCCACTTCTGTGGGTCTTCATTCCCTTATGAAGGCTGCCATGCCACATATAACCCACAAAATACATTTGTTCGCTTTTTCTCCTGTTAATCTGTCTTTGCCTGTTTTATTTTCAGGCCCAGTCAGGAGTCCTAAAGGGTGGAGGAAAACTTTTTCTCCCCTACGTTGCCCACCAAAAAGTCCTTTCAGAAAGGACTGGGGTTTAGCGCGTGGAGAAATGACTCTCCCCTTTATAAATGCGCTAAGAGTTCTGCCCTGTGTGTCACGTGGACAGCTAAGACCGTCTGTCTGGGGGAAGAGCCACCTCCGTGCTGAGGACCACAAGGGACAGAGAACTCAGGGCATCGCTCGCCCCGTTCGTAGCCCTGAAGTCCCTCCTTCACGCGCCGCCTCTCTCTGCAAGCCAGACAGGCGGGCCTTTGGCTGAGTCCCCGTCCCCGGCCTGGTGGTGGAAGCCCAGGGACAAGGGCTAACACTCCAGAAAGCCATTCAGCTCCTGGCAACCTGCCTCCTTGGCAGGGCCTAAATGTGTTTAATCTAAACTTTCCTAAAATATATTCCTGGAGGGAGGCCAGATGAGGGTTGCATTCTGAAAGTTCTCAAAGTCTCTGGCTGCTGGAGGCCACCTGTACCTACCGGAGTTTGGACGGAATGCGCTGGGCCCGCCGCCCCTCCCCCTCCCGCTAGCAGAGGTCTCAGGGGAAAACAAACACGGAGGGCCATGAGGAAGAGGAGCAGCCTCCCTGCGTGGAGGAGGGCAGTGTGACCTGAGCAGCTGAGGCAGGCGTGCCAGTGACCCACCGGGGTGACAGTAAGCAGCCCTCTGGGACCTCAAGTGAGGGGATCAGCTCTGCTTTCTGAGAGCAAAATGGGCAAGTGAGTTCGTAGATGCTGTAGGATTCACCAGCCCAGGGAGTAAAATAAAGTGGCCCAGGTGTGTCCCGAGAGACAGGTCCCTGCCTTTGGCTAATTAATAAGTACAAGCCAATCAGCTGTATGGCACTCTGCGTGGAGAAAGAGTAAGTGAGCAGAACCCGCCAGCCAAATTGGCAGGAAAAGCGAGGCGGGCTCAGCACTTATCCCACCCTGGCCTACAGGGGGCGCGCTGGCTCCGGGAACCAACCTCCTGGACAGGTAAGTGTGCGGTGGGCCAGGGGTGGTTTCAGGACCCCCTCGGGCATCCTTCTCTGCTTTGACGACATGGTCACCAAGCAACATGCCACTGACCTCTTTGGATGTATGGGCCTTTCAGTGTTAAGACTGGGTATGCCGGCACTAGAAAGGAATGCCTCACTCCCACCCCTACCTTCCACAGACATGGAAAACGAATAGTTTATACACCTTTGCCTTTTGTGAATTCAGGAGGTGTCAGTCAGCCCTCCAAAGTCTCAGCCACTCAAGAACACAGATGGGTCCCCAGGTGCTGGCAAGCTCCCCAAGATGAGGCATCTCTGCCCGAGAGAACTTCAGGTACACATGCACCCAGGTGCCTCTTTTCAAACTTTCTCCTTGAATGGGGGAGGGTGGCAGAGGGCGGGGGGAGGAAAAAGGAGTTTCCAGGCAGATTGCCTGTGTCAGGCAGGGTGACTCTTCCTCCCTGCAGAACACCCTCCTGGGTCATCGTGCAGCCATGAGGGTCTCCCCTTCCCCAGATCGATGGCCCCCAGCTGCGCGTGCACACTCCGGGGCTGTGCCAGGCAATCTATTTGATATTGCAAGAAAATATAATAACAGAAGATAATAGAAGTTCTATGTATATTAATTTTTATCTATCCTTTTCCATGTTCTATTTTGGGGATATCTTATAACATATATGTGTTCATTAGACCATGCACATATATGATGAAGGGCATACTCAAAATTTCTTTACTGATAGAGATGCATGATTAGAACAGTTTGGAAACCACTACCTTGGAAAACAGAATATTGAGGCCGAAATGACATTCGTCATGGCCCGAGCAGGAAGTTCCACGTGTTATTTCACTAGAGCGTCTGATCAGTGGTCCTCCCTCCGGCTGCGTGTGCGAGTGTCCCGGGGACTCTGTGAGAAGCGCATCCCACACTTACTGAGTCAGGATACCCGGCGGGGGGCTCCCGGGTTGCACTTTGGCCGTCTTTCAGGGGATGCTTAAGGTGGAAAACTATCATGGGACTTGTGGGTCTGGGCACGGGGAAGGACCCAGTGATAGGCTTTGGGGGCACAAAGCACAGGGCTTAGGCTCCAAGCCCCTTGGGATTCGTCTGCTCTCTGTTTCTGTCTCCTAGGAGCACTAGCTTCTGTCCAGTTTCTGGGGTCCCTGGTTTTCCCAGCAGCTGGCTACCAAGAGGACTGTCTTCCCTGAGTGGACCCGAACAGCATGGACGAGAGCAGGCTTGGAACTCCATCCCCAGAGAGCAGCGAGAGAGGCCGAGCCTTGGGAAAGGGGCCAAGGAGGCTGCTCAGCCACTTGGAGGCTCGACTGGAGGCGCCAAGAGAGACAGTGTGGCTCCCTGGGGCCCAGGCCGGTTCCCCAGGGCTGGAGGTTTCTGCAAAATGTTTTGGCCAAAGCCCCAGCTAGCAACTATGGTATATATCTGCCCAGTCCTGAACTGCGTATGTTTACCCTTCTAGACCTCATGGAGGGAGGGTTTTAGGAAGATAAGATTTGAGAGTCTGGATCCTGAGCAAACTCAGCTCACCACATCTGATTAGACGGGGCCACCCATATCTGCAACCTCCTGAATCCTCGTAACAAGCAGGAGATGGGTCTGCCATGACGCTCCCATTTGACACACCAGGAAGGCCAAGGTGGCCAAGCTACTTGCCTAAGGTCAGTTGGTGAGTCTGGGGTCACAGCCAGCACCCTCCCTCCTGTCTCCTGCTCCACAACAACAACCCATCCTTAGTCCTTAGGGAAGTAGAATGTGGGGCCCCCCAGGCAGGATCCACATCATATTTATCTCTTGTTCAAAGCACAGGGCTGGACATACTGTAGCCATCCATTAGATGTTTGTCAGGCAAATGGATAAACTCCCTTCCCGGTACCTCAGCTGAGCCTTAGAAAATATGAGAAACAGAGCTAAGGCCATCATCACTCGTGGCCTGCAGTGCGGACTAGGGTGCCCACCCTTAGCACTGCTCTGTGCCCACACTCCCCCCACGAGAGCCCTGCCGAAACGCACATGCCACGTAGAAAGTACAAAATAACTAGGAACAGAGGGAGGGAGCCCTTTATCTGTCATTCATTCATTCATTCGTTTTCACAGGAATGTCAACCTTACAAGCACCCGTGATCTGGTACTTATGAGTGGGGACTGCTGTCATCACAGAAAGAAGGGGAGACACAGCAAAGGAAGCCACAAAGAAAGGGTGACTGTGAAGAATGTACTTCCTTGAACTCTAAAAGTTTATGGTCTTATTTCATAGGGTGTCAAGAATACCCAAATATTCTCTTCAGGGTTATGAGAATGTCTTTTATACTGTTGTTTCAAATCGTTCCCAAGGAAGGGAACTACCAAACTTCCCTTCACATGAGATTCCTTTTCCCATGTCTAGGGGATTCTTAGAAGTTTCTTGCTACGGGAATGTGTGTGTCCCTGACTACTCACCACTTACTTCATTTTCATGGGGTCAGAAGGTCCCCGTCGTTGGCCAAAGTCTCACGTTGGCAAAAGTTATAGGCGATCCTACAACACCTGTTTTGGGACGGGGTCTCCCTCATTCCCTTACCTTAGGAGATGAACATACCAACGAACCTTCTCCCCCCTTCCCAGAACATTAGCCAGCAGGAGTCAAAATGCCCCAGACAGCTGCCACCAACCTCAGGCCACTCACCTGTATTTGTAATCTCGGAAGCACATTTGATGGGCTTTGAGCTTAGAAATGAGAAGCTTGAGAATTTTCACAAAGATGAAGAAATTGACCTTGAAAAAAAGCAGATGTGGGTAAGTGCTGGGCTCTATATAGCTGTGAATGTCAAGGTCGCCCCAGGCTTGACCATTAGTTCCTCGTCTGTGTGAACCAGGGGCAATTTGGCCATCAGCTGGTCAGGGAGTAAGTACTTAATGGTAATCGCCACTGTCCTGTAGGTCATATGAACTGAAAGTCTGCACAATTCATTTGGTTTATTCTTCTGCCTCATTACTAAAGCCATCTGAGAAAGGCAGATGGACATTTACATCATTATTATTAACATTATCATTAATATTAAGTGACATTTGGTGACTACTCACCATGCCATGCTTGGGGCTAAGAACTTTCTGTGCACTATTTTATTTAATCTTCATAAATCCCCAACCCCTGAGGCAGCCACAACTGGTTTTATTCTCATAACACAAGGAGAAAAGAGAGGCACTTAGGAGGTAAGTGTAATTCCCAGGTTGCACAGCTAGGTGGCGACCGAGCTGGTAATTAAGCCCAGGTTATATGATCGCACCCCTCCCTTCCCTTAAACAGAACCCCACACTGCCTCTCCTCCATGAACTCCAGCCCCGTGGGGGTCTAACCTGAGGTCCTCCTGCCGCCATGGAATTCACTGGACGGTGTATGTTCGCCACTCCCTAGAATACTTTCCACGTTTGTCACGGACTGGGAAAATCCAGCCCTTCATAGCCTTGGTAGAAAATTTAAAATATGCCTGAAAATTCCTTGATGCTTCTCCTCAGAAGCCAGAGCCTAATACGGCCCGCCTTCCCCTGTGGAGGGGAGCTGCCTCTAGTTACCCGCGCCTAACGGAAACAGATGGGCAAGTGATGCTACGTGACTTCTGAGCTAGGTCCTCAAAAGGACGGCCTCCCCCTGCGCTCTCCCCCTCTCCGACTGCTCACCCCAGGGGAAGCCGGCCACCATGTTGCAATGACACCCAAGCAGCAGGTGGAGAGACCCACACCGGGGAACTAAGTCCTTCTGCCAACTGCCAGCACCACTCGCCACCCTGGGGCTGATCTTGCAGCCCTAGTCAAGCCTTCGGCTGGCTGCGGCCTCATGAGAAATCAAGAGCCTCCCGGAAGTGTTGACAAGCAAGTAGGCGAGTGTGGGTAGGGCCTGGAGAACGAGAACAGGGTTTGTGAGACGTGAGAGTGGAGGGGGAGGGAGGACCAGTTCCCGCCGGCCATGCTGAGTACGGAGTTTGGATTCACGTCGGAAAGCAAGGGACAGCCGGTGATGCATTTTAAGCAGGCAAGTGACCTGATCAGATTCGCAGCCCTGCATTCCAGAAAGATCGTCTTAGCAGCAGGTGTGGAGAATGTGTTTGAGAAGGCACGGCTGGAGGAGGGGTCAGGAGGCAGTCCCAGAGTTCCTGGGGGAGGAAGACGGAGAGGTGAACTCAAGTGGCAGCCCTGGTGCTTCAGTGACGGAGAAGAAGTGACATATTTGCAACGATCCAGTTTGAGTCAAACGATCTTTGCTGCTGGTTAGATGTGAGGTCAAAGATGCCCCCACGTGTCCTGGCAGATCTGAAGTGCAGCAGCGCTGCTCAGTAAGGGTGGGGGGAGGAGGGCGAGGTGGCGGTGGGGGCAGGCGAGGGGTCCCGTGGTTTGGAACACAGGAGATGCCCCACGGCAGTTAGATGTGTCCGGACCTCGGCAGAGAGGCGCCAGCCAGAGCATGATGCTGTTGGAGTAGGCGAGGTTATCCAGGGAGACGGTGTAGACGGGGGAGAGAGAGGGCGGAGAGAATTGCCCTGTGTGGAAGGGAAAGGTGGAGGAGGAGGAGAGAGCAAAGGTGGTTACAAAAGGACAGCTGTAGGGCAGTCAGGATGAACCACACGGAAGGGGCATCCTGGAATCCCCCGAAGGGAAGAATTTTGAGGTTTAAATGCTACACAGAATTTAAACAAGACTGCTTTTAGCAACAAGGGGCTCACTAAGAGAAGCTGCAGTGCAGAGGTGAGAGCACAGGCCCGATTCCAAAGCTTTGTTCTGTGAATGCAACGGGAAGAGGAGAGACAGTGTAGACAACGTCTAAGAGGCTTGGCTGTGAAGGGAGGCACAGTGATGGAACAAGGGTTGACAAGGGATACACAGTGGAGATACTGTCTCCCTGCTTTTTTTAATTTTCTTTTTAGAGACACAGTCTCAGTCACTCAGGCTGATGTGCAGTGGCACGATCACGGCTCACTGCAACCTCAGACTCCTAGGCTCAAGCGATCCTCCTGCCTCAGCCTCCCAAGTAGCTGGGACTGCAGGTACGCACCACCATGCCCGGCTATTTTTTATTTTAGTGAGACAGCATCTCACTATGTTGCCTAGGTTGGTCTCAAGCTCCTAAGCTCAAGTGATCCTCCTGCCTCAGCCTCCCAAGTAGCTGGGACTGCAGGTATGCACCACCATGCCCGGCTATTTTTTATTTTAGTGAGACAGTGTCTCACTATGTTGCCTACATTGGTCTCAAGCTCCTAAGCTCAAGTGATCCTCCTGCCTCAGCCTCCCAAAGTGCTGGGATGACAGGTATGAGCCACTGCACCTGGCTTCCCACTTTTATTTGCAGGGCTGGAAGAGGTTTTGGGTTGCAACTGATTTTAAGGTTGAAAAGACCTAAAAATGCCCCTGCATATGCAAATGAGAAAGAGTTGATGGAGAGAGCGATCAGGTTACAATTAATGGAATAAAGTCTCTAGAGAATACTGTCCCTGTCTAGAAACAAAATCCTTTCGCTACATAATGAAACACGAGCTGTAGAATCCAGTATGTACCTGTTAGTGCTTGCTTTATTGGCCTTGGGAGAGTCAACGCCAAATGCCAAAAGCCTCGTTTTGGGCGAGGAGCTCTTTATCCAGTCTGTAAACCAGCAGGAATGATGGAGGTTCCCGGCCAAAGAATATTTAGTAACAGAAAATTTAAATACAAACTAAATGTAACCAAGTAATTTATCCCTTTTAATGGGATATCTGCTTTTCATCATAAAAAGAAAACGTTGTGTCCTTGGCTTAGGGGTTTGTTAAACACAGGCATTTTTCTTACAAAGTAAGCTTAGCAGGGAAAGGCACATATTTCAGCAAATTAATTTCAATTAGGGCTGTCACCTAGGAAATGAAGGCTTGTAATGAGATGAGAAGCATGTTGATTTGCTGTTCTTTGTGTCTGCCAGAGACCAGACAAGAGCAAACGGGCATCAACTAATGGGCCATATGGGAGAAGCACCTCCTCACTGCCGTGGGACGAACACCAGCCCGGTTACCATGGAGCCTCTATTCGGCTGGGCTTCCAGGAAGACTAGAGTCAGCGATCACATTTGGATGGTGCTGTTCTTCACTTGTACACGAGCAGGAAAGGGGCTGAAAGAAGAAATCTGTGACCAGATGCGAGGCACTTAGGACCCCAAATATATAAGGCTCCCTTCCAGGTTCTAGAGAGTACAGATGCACTCTCAGATGTTTTGGTGACACTTTCTTGGCGTCCCGGCTTCTGTGCACAGATCTGGGCCAACAGGTTGGCAGAGGTGATTGCTAGCATGGCAAGAGCTCAGGGGTAGCCTTCTTCTACCCTTCAACTCTTGAATCGGCCCCAAAGCGCCTCCCCCTTTGGCTTGCCGTGTGAACTAACATGCCTACTCTGAGAGCTACTCCTTTGGGTTCCAACACTCCCTCTCCGAGAGCCCTGCTGAAATGCACGTGTCCCCTAGAACATAAGAAATGACTAGGAAAGGAGAGAGAAAGCCCTTTCATTCATTCATTCACTTATTTTTACAACAATGAAGACCTCAATAATTACCTACTATCTGCCTTATTTTCACCATGGAAAGCAGATGATGGGGTACAGCAAAGGTAAGTTTTGATGGGGTGGGGAAACTCAGGGTACAGGGAGATTTCCACTGTAACTCTTCAGAAGAGGAGAGTATGGGAAATGAGGAGATGTCTTGGGAAACCTGGAACAGCAGAAAGCCTCTGAGTTCCTGGTGAGGCAGAGGACCTAAGGAGGGACAAGGCTAGTGAAGACTAATGTCACCAGTTTCTCAGCTCCGCCAGGCTCTGAGGCTATCAAAAGAGATTTAACAAAAATAAATGAAGGCTTTTGACTTTATGCCTTCATAAATTTGACAGATGGTTCATTCAATTGGTTGGCTCAAAAAAGCCATTCAACTTGGTGCTCAATCTGGTCAGTCTGTTATCTGCAGGGAGCAGGATATGAATAGGATGACCTTGCATGGTGCAATGATCTTGTAAGGCTGTCCTTGAGAAGGACTAATCAAGACTTTACTGATATTCTATTGGGGGCAGGGGACACTAGGATGTGAGAATGTACCATGTTCCAATATGATTCAACCTTAAAGGTACACCCATTGCAGGGGTGACAGGCTAATCTAAGTAGTGAAGTCTTATACAAATAAAGAAGTGGTGATTCTCCATTTTCTGTGCCTAGCGAAAGACCCAAAGAGCATCTGGATTCTTTAGCCACGTTGTGGTCATTCTGAAACATTCTGAAACCTTGTAGCCAATAAAGTCTGCGGAGGTATCTGGAAATCCAGCATAATACACGACGTTCACACCAACCAGGTGCTGATACACCAATGCAGACCCAGCTGCGGGAGCCACAGGAGAGACCAGGCTGTGGGACTGGGAGCCCGGACCTGGGACAGCAGACTCCTTGGTCCCAGGGCTAAGCTCTCCATGGACAGTTGCCTTTTCTCCAGAAGCTTCTGCTCCATGCTCCCCAAAATAGGGCCCAGGCTCAAATTTGGCCAAGATTAAAAAAAAAAATACATCAACCGTTAAGTACCCTAAAATGCCAAGTGCTACCAGCTCAATTTTAATTATTATGTTACTTTTTGGTACTTCAGTTTAGATAGAATATATGTGGAGGTCAAAGAATTTTCTTTTTCCTTAACACAACAAAAGTTTATTTTTCTGCTTATGTCACCATCTAGTGCAGGGGGGGGGGGGCTCTGCTCCACGCAGTCACTCAGGGAGCCAGGCAGCTTCCATACTGTGGGTTAAGGAATTCTCTTTTAGAGCTGGGGTTATGTCTACTCACATCAGGGGGAAACTGCAAAATTGGTCAAATGACCAAACGTGAAGGTAGATATGGGTTCAGCCATAGTCTGATGAGTCTCAGAATAATAACTATGACATTCTGAATCCCCCAAGGACAGGAACTCTGAGAGGACCTAGCAGAAACCCAAGCACAGGGAAGGTGCTCAACGAATGCTGAACGAAGGTGCAGAGCAGTGGGTGCATGACAGTCCAGTGCTAAGGAAGCTCTACGTGGCAGAAGTTTTGATTCCATCAGTCTGGGTGGAGTCCAGGCTGGGTATTTTTTAAACTTCCCCAGGTTGTTCTAATGTGCAGCCACTGTCTAGCCCAGGGTGTCTCAGCCTCTGCACTATTGCTATCTGGGGCAGGGTAATTTCTTGTTCGAAGGTCTGTTCTGTGCATTGCAGTGTTTTGAGCAGCATCCCTGGCCTGCGCCCACCAGATGCCAGTAGCAGCACTCTTCCCACACCCCCACCCCCAATTTGTGACAATTAAAAATGTCTCCAGACATGGCCAAATGTCCCCAGGGGGCAGAATCACCTGTGTTTCAAAACCACTAGTCTAGTCTAGCCCTGCTTTTACAGATGAGGAAGCAGGCGCCCAGAGAGGGCAGCTGCTGGGCTCAAGGGCACATCAAGGTCAGCCGCAGAACAGGGCGCTCGACTCCTCGCTCGTTCCTTCACTTCGCTACACGGCCTCTCTTGTCCCCTTCACGTCTGGTAGGACACATACATTCCACTCTTCTGGGAACCCTGCAACCACTGTGCAGAGTCGTAGACTCCCAGAGCTGTGTGGGTCGGGGAGGTTTAGCTCCCTATTGTTCAGAACGGATTCTCTTCTTGGAGACTGATAGAGTTGGGAAATCCAAAGCCCTTCTCTGTGGTTCATGTCAGTGTTTTACCAGTTTATGGTTAAATATTCTTCCTGTGACCAAGGGAAACTTCTTCCATTTCTATCAAGCCCATTTCCTCTTGTCCAAGCCCCTGCAGACGCAGACAACAGTTTAGCAACGCTCTCTCTAAGACCTTCATAGACTTGAGGACGATTGTGCAATGCTGCCTTGCAGGCACGCCTGTTGACTTTCTTTAATTGGGAGCATAGAGAGATTAATAAAGGGCCCAATCTCCAAGGAGAGAGAGAATTCACCAGGCAGACTTGAGGCCATGTCCAGGCAGGAGGACAGCAGGGGCAAAGGCATGGGAGGAGTGAGACTCCATGGTGTAATTGGAGAACTTGGAATGTCTCCATTTAAGTAGAGCTTAGGGTGCTTACAGTTGGATGAGTAGACAGGGAATGACAATGACCACACCAAGGAGTTGGGAGCCAGGCCTGAGGGCAATAGTGACCCATCCAAGAGTCACAGGTAGAAGAGAGACATAATCAAATGTTACTCCAAACAGATCACTCTGGCTGCGACAGGAGGATGATTTCCAGAGGCAAGAATGAATGAACAGAGACCGAATAGGTCTCCTTTTGCACAAGGAATGCCAAGGGGCAGAATAAGAGTAGCAACCATGGGATTGGGGAAGAGGAGATGGGTTTAGAGGAAGAACTGACTAGACTCCAAGTCTAAGTGGATGTTGCAGGGTGGAAGAGGATGGGAGCTAGGAGGACACCCAGCTTTCTGGCGTGGGTGTCTGGTAGGTGGATGGTGAAGCCATTTGCTGGGTGGGTGAGCAGGAGGAAGAGGAGGCCTGCATGGGAAGAGGGGCCACCGTCAGCTAAGGTGGCTGTGGCCCTGCTGGTGGAGCCAACCATGCCTGCAGTTGTGAAAGCAACAGCATGTAAAGGTCACTTTACCAAGGTGAGAAGATACAGCACCTTCTCTCGTCATGCTAGGAAGAGAGTGTCACTCTAAGAACCAGGAAGCACCAGGAGAAACTAGCATTCAGGACAGCCAGCCATGGAGGGCCAAAGTGCCAGGGCCCAGAGCAGGGGTTCCAGTCCTGAGAGTCCATTAGAATTATTTGAGAGCTTTTAAACTACAAGTTCCCGGGCCCCAATCTCAAAATTGCTGATGTCATTGGTCTGGGGTATGAGCCACCATGGTATTCCTAATGTGCAGCCAGTGTTGAGAACCAAAGAGCTTGACCAAGTTTAATGAGCTTCCAAAGTCTAGGGGTCTCATTTCAGTGCAGGAGCTGATTCAGCAGGCCTGGGGGTGGGCCTGAGGACCTGCATTTATAACAAAGAGTTGCTCAGGGGATGCCGGTGCTCCTGGTGCAAGGACCACTCTTGGAATAGCAAGGACGTAGCAACAGGCTTTTCACCCCTGCTGGCACGTTAGCACCTCCTGGCCACTCCTGAGACCAATGAAACACGAATGTGTGGAGGTGGGACTCGGGCAAAAAGAATTTTTGAAGATACTTAGGGGATTCCAAGAGCAACCCAGTTTGAGAGCCATTGATGTAGCTTCTAGAAGACTGCAAGGTAAACACTCAGGGTCCAGCTAGCCCAGCCCTGACCTCCATCCTACGGATGGCTGTTGGCCTCCATGCTGCTTCCTTCTGCTTGGTGAGCAAGAACCCTCAAGGGCCTCAAGCGTGGCTCCCAAGTATCCACCGAGTAAGGTTATCGAGGACCTGCATAGGCTTGAGCCGGCTGCCAGGATGAATAGAACATGGGGCTCACGGAGGCAGCAAACAGGCTTTAACCAAATACTTGAAGTTTGCTGGAGCAGGAGCCCGCACAGGACCCAGGAAGGACTGAAGGAGGGTGTGACCATTTCCGCTTCTTGGGGTGTGCACCCAGGTACAGCAGCACAGAGAGCTCGGTGCTCGACTCAAGACTTGAAAGACGAGGATGGGGTCGGCAGGTGGCTAAGATGGCGGAGGGAAGGAGTTGGAACCTGAGGGGCGTCTGGACCCCGGTACTAAGGTGTGAGAGGGCCCACAGCAGCCAGTAATCCAGGCCAGGGGCTGGAGACACAGACATTGTTTGAGCAGCGGCACGGGGTTATGGCTGCAGGTGCCAGCTGCCACCCAGCCAGGCTCTTTGGGCTGAGATCCAGCTCCCAGTTACTGGTTCCATGACTTTAGGAAAGTAAATACTCATCTTCTCACTGTGCTTGCCAATAAAATAAATATAAGAATAACAGCAACTACCTCATAGTTTGGTTGGGAAGATTCAATGAGTTCACACACACGAAGCACTTAGCAATGGAGCCAGTAAGTAGGAGGTGCTCAATAAATGTTACCGGGCCTGGTGGAGGGGCCCGAGCACGGGGGGGGGGGGGGGGGGGTGCTGAGACCCCGGCTGGGCAGTGTGGCTGGAGAGGGGAGGGTTGTGGAGAGAGGGAGGTGACTGAGGCAGGGCTCACGGTGCCATGTGTGGGGGGTGTGCACTCAGACTTCATTTGGAGCATTGGCTCCTGCTGCGTGTCCAGTGACCATCTAGACATGACGCAGCCCCAGGATCAAGGGCCCCCGCACGCTTTTCATTTTCCCGCCATCTCTGCGAACACTTTCCCCTCCGGGTCACGCCCAGGGCTGAACAGAGAGTTGCCCTCTGTCATTGACAAATATTGACAGTCTTTTATAAAAACTAGCCGTTTTCTTTCACGACGCCACAAACACCGGATTGTTTACATGAAATGGCAAAACGAGATCGTCCAGCAAGCCCTTGCAGAAGAGGGAGGGCAGAGCGGGAACACGTGCCGGCGCCTGGCGGGCGCTGTCTGTGCAGGAGGACTTCCCGCCTCCCTCCCCGCTCCTGCTAGCCTGCCCCACCCCCCGTGCGCCAACGCCCAGCTTCCTCCCCCAGCTTCTTTGCCAGATTTCATTCTCACATTCTATCATCTAAAGGGGCTTTTTGACTCTGAGCCGGCCACCCTTCCCCATCCCAAATATTCTGGGCCACGACAATGACAGGCCCTTCCTCCTTAAGGTCTCAGAGTGGCGTCTATGTCTGGATTCCAGCCCTGTCCCTGCTTCAGGTGAATACTGACTGCATGTTTTCCTCCTGTGCAAGAAGTTCCCTTAGTCTCTTCCCCCCTCCTGCGAGTGGCGTCAGGGCATCAGTGCTGCTTCACTGGCACTTCTATCACGGAAGACACCTGGGTCCCCAGGGCCTCGGGCACAGCGCAGCCCTTCGATACCAGACCACAGAGCCGATTGCAGGGCTCTGTGCACGGTTGGGAGACCCAGAGGGAAGAAGGCTTACAGTGTGACTCTGAATTTACGTCCTGAACCAGAGCAGAGAGAAGCTTCCAACTTCTTCTCCTTCAGCTGAAACTGCTCTCAGTTCAGCTTCTCCTTCTCAAGGGATCAGAGAGTTGGGGGATAGAGTTCGGGGTGTTTCCCACAGCTGCTGAGCTCAGACGCAAAATGGGTGGGTGGGATGGTCCTTACTGTCACGCAAAACAGCAGGGGTCCTCGGATGATCCACCAGACTGTCTTGTTCCCATTTGTGGCCCAGCATCTGAGGGCAAAGAGGGAGGGAGAAGAAGACTTAAGAATCGGGAGGAGGTTGGATGTCAGGCTCTCGTGCCGCCTGGGAGGAGGACGCCTGCGCTCCGGCCCGCGTCCCTCCGGGGCGGGGAGGTGGAAGAGAGGACTACACTCCCCTGTCGGTCCTGGTACTCTTGACTTTTCTCACCAGTAAGTTGTCTTCAGTGTTAACAGCCTGGTGTGCACATCCTTCCACGTTTCTCTCCATGTTCATACAAACATAAATCCTGAATTACATAGTGGTTTTGTGGGTGGGCTTTATTTGGAGGAAAACAGTGGGACCATACAATAAGTATTCAGCAACAGGCTTGAGATACGCTGCTGAGGTTCAGTCCCTAAGAGTCCCTAGGAAGAACCAACTTGGTTTTTTTTTCCAGTAGTCTCATAATATTCTGCAATATAGATGTGCCACAATTTGTTCCATGATTCCCATATTGGTGGGCATTCTGGGTTTGTTTGCTTGTTTGTTTGGCTTTTTTCTTTCCTCGCTGTGACCAGTGCTGCAATGACCATGCCTGTGTTTGTGTCCTTACGTACGAAGGGCTGCAGCTAAACCAGACAGCATCTTCGTGCTAATTTGCATATGTAGCTAAAGTAATAAAGTAATTACCATAAGATCTTTGATTATTTCTCTATATCCCTAAGTATATTCTAGAGGGCCAAAAGGAGATGGGATGGATGTTTTCTTTGGGAAGATGGTGTCATTCCTTATATTTGGGCATATCTGGGAATTACTGGCTCATGGAAGAGTAAAACCAGGTGAGTTACCTACCCCGTGTTCTCCAGGTGTGCACGGGCAATGCCCCAGGGGACAACGAAGAGCACAGGGAAGGCTGGGGAGGAAACACAGGGGAATGTAGTTAGAAGCTGGTCGAACCCTCCTGCCTCCCACCACAGCTGATGGGGCGAGCACAGGAAGTTAAACTTGTATAAACCCGAACGTCACAGATTCGTGGACCTTTAGAGTTGGAGAGACCTACGGCAGGACAGGGCCCCTCTGTTGTTTTCACATCTGAGAAACCAGGACCCAGAGCGAAGGGACTCACCGCTTGTCACAAAGCAGAGTCGAGTAAAGACATTAGCCAAAACGTCCTGAATGGTGGGCCCAAGTTGTTTCCTCTGAATCCTGTAGCATCAAGTTCTCCAAGAGTTTTTGGAGGGAGGGGCTCCACATCTGGATACTCTTGGTCATATGTTTTTTTAAAATCAATGAACTTCATCTTGAAGACTTGGTGTTATGGATCAAACACTGTGTCCTCCAAAAATTCGTATGTTAAAACCCCACCCCGAGTGGAGGTAGGGCCTTTGGAGGTAATTAGGTTTAGATGAGGTCGTGGGAGGGGGGTCCTCAGGACAGGATTAGTGCCCGTATAAAAAGAGACCAGAGAGCTTGGCTTCTCTCTGCCATCACCGTGTGAGAATACAGCAAGAAGGCCGCTGCCTGCAGGCCAGGAAGAGAGCCCTTCCCTCCTCCAGAATTATGACTAAGTAACGTGCAGCATTTAAATTACACAGGAATTTCATTATGGCATCCCAAACAAATCCAGTTGGGCACAGGGTAGGAGGAACGTCATCCAATTCCACCGAAGAACTTCTCGATTTTCGAATGTGTGCACGGGGCCTCCCGCACTCGTGCACACATGTGCACAGGGACACGCACATACACACACTTCTGCTCAGAGCCTCTTGACATCAAGGACTTATCTGTCCCAGAAGCCACGCTCCAGTGAGGTTTCTAACTCCAGCCGAATGCTCTATCAGGCTCCCACGTTCTCATGGGTCCCCAGGAGAGGAGGTCAGGGGTCAGGTCACTCACCCCAACCCACCAGCAGGTATCTGGCCCACAGCCGCCTCGAAGGAAGCACGGAGGGCTCCAGCAGTGCGTGCAGGTAGAGGCCTTCGACCAGCAGCCATGAGTGATTGGCGCCCACGAAGTAGTGCAGGAGAACCTGGACCGAGCGGCAGGAGGTCGAGATCTGCAGGGGACAGAACGGCTGAGGGCAAGTCCGGCGTCCCCAGCTCTGCCCCAGGTGCATGGAGAAGGGCCGCCCCCAGCACAACCCCTCCCTCTCTACTCCCCTCTCTCCCGGGCCCTTGCTGGCCATCTCAGAGAGGTGGCAACAACAGCAGCACATGAAAGAAGGAGGGCCTCGTGCAGGCTTCAACGACCAGCCTCTTCCTCAACATTCTAGACATTCTTAGACAAACGAAAACAGAGAGAATTCATCAGCAGCAACTGCTCTAATGGAAACACTAAACAGTATATTCTCCAACCCCGGTTCAATTAAGCTACAAATCAATAACTAAAAATATCTTAATATCATTAGCAATTAGGAAATAGATTTCTAAGTAACCCACAAATCAAAGAAGAAATTATAAGAGAAATTAGAAATTATTTCCTAACTGAGTGTAGGGAAAACACGGCATACTCAAACTTGTGGTACTCAGCTAATGCCAAGCCTAGAATGAAACTTATAACCTTAAATGCATTTGTTGAAAAAGAAAAAGGCTAAAAATCAATTATATTAAGCATCATGTCAAAAAAGTTAGAAAAAAATAGCAAATTAAACCCAAAGAAAGTACGTAAGGGGAAACAAAGATAAAAGCAGAAATTAATGAAATAGAGAACACTGATTAAAGAGGATCAACAAGCCCCAAAGTCTGTTCTTTGGAAAGTCCAATAAAATTGAGAAACTTCTGGCAAGGATGATCAAGGGGTGAAAGAAAGGGAGCAGAGATGGAATCCATCAATCTCAGGAAGGAACCCTTCCAGACCCACTGGACTCCAGAAGGCCTGCAGAGAACGTCATGAACAAAATAATGCCAGTACATTTGAAAGCTACATGAAATAGACAAATGCCTACAGAAACTTGTTACTACAGCTGATAAGAAGAAATAGAAAATCAAAATGTAATATCCATATTTAATCCATAATTTGAAAAATTCCAATAAAGACGACTCTGGATCCAAATGGTCTCACTGGCATAATCTCTCAAATACTTAAGAAAGAAATAAAACCAATCTTAAACAAATTCTTCCAGAGAATAGTGAAACAGGGAACTAGTTCCAACTTTTTTTCTTTTACATTTTCACATGTTTTAATGGGAGTTTCACTGAGTAAAATGGGAGAGTATGAATAGGATACAATAGTCAAATAATAAATAGCAAACAAAACAAAAACAAACAAAAACCTCCCCGGACAAATATCACATGTTCTCACTTGCAAGTCGTTCGAATTTTGTTAAGAGGTCAGCACAAACCTGATATCCAAACCTGACAAAGGCATTACAAGAAAGGAAAATTACAGACCAATTTTTCTCATGAATATAAATGAAGAAATGCTAAACAAAACATAATATTAACATACTGAATTCAGCAATGTAGGAGAAAGAATATTATGTCGAAACCTAGTTGGATTTATTCCAGGAATGCAAGGTTAGTTTAACAGGTTACTGCATTATTAGTAAGATAAAGGAAAAGCCATCTCAATAGATGCAGAGTTCAACGTGGAAAAGATTTGCTGCTTTAAAGGAAATAGTACAGTCATCCCACAGTATCCTTGGGGGATTGGTTATAGGACCTCCTTTTATTTTATTTTATTTTATTTTTTGAGACAGAGTCTTACTCTGTTGCCTGGGCTAGAGTGAGTGCCGTGGCGTCAGCCTGGCTCACAGCAACCTCAATCTCCTGGGCTCAGCGATCCTACTGCCTCAGCCTCCCGAGTAGCTGGGACTACAGGCATGCACCACCATGCCCGGCTAATTTTTTGTATATGTATTTTTAGTTGGTCAATTAATTTCTTTCTATTTTTGGTAGAGATGGGGTCTCGCTCTTGCTCAGGCTGGTTTTGAACTCCTGACCTTGAGCCATCCGCCCGCCTCGGCCTCCCAGAGTGCTAGGATTACAGGCGTGAGCCACTGTGCCCTGGCCTTGTAGGACCTCCTTGGAGACCAAAATCCACAGATGCTCAAGTCCCTGGTATAACATGGCATCGTATTTGCATATAACCTACACACATCCTCCTGTATACTTTAAGTCATCTTTGGATTACTTGTAATACCGAATACAGTGAGAATAGATAGGTAAACAGATGCTAAACTGAATTGTTCAGTGAATAAGGACAAGGGGGAGGCCTGTACGTGTTCAGTACAGACGCAGCCATCCTTTTCATTTCTCCCCAGACGTTTTCTGTCTGAGGTTGGTGGAATCCACAGATGTGAAACCCAGGGATACAGAGGGTCAACTGTCATTGTGAAGAAGGGTGATCTAGTCCGGTTCTTTTGCTAGAAAATGAAGAAATTTCCCTCACAAGGATATACGGTGGCCGCGGTGAACCTTTCTGCAGCTGCCTCCTTCACCTGGCCTGCTCTTGGGAGCTGGTGGCTTTGTTAAGTCATGTGCTGCCTCTCTAACCAGGAGCCTTGGACACCCCTCTGTCCCCTCGCCCCCTCTGCAGCCTCGCCTGCCCAACTTCAGGTTCCCAGGGCCGACCACTGTCTGGGAGCGCCGATGTGCGTGGTGGGGAGGGCTTACCTCTGACAGGTAGGACATCCACCCGGCCTCACTGTCGGGCCTCTTGGAGTAGGAGTTGTAGAAGACGACGTCCTTCACCAGCACCGCCACGGCTCTCAGGATGAAAGAGGCAAACAAGTTCATGTGGATGTAGTTGCGTGTACAGTGGAGTTTTCTGCGCAAGGAGAAAGCCAGATTCCTTCCCTCAGGCAAGAATGGCTCAGACCAAACAGGTCTCTGCCTGTCATGCTTGTGTGTATCTACCACTAAATATGGAGGTTTGTGGGTTCCAGAGCTGGACCTCTGGGTTTTGTGATCTTACTTCTCTGTGCCTCATTTTCCTCACCTGTAAAATGGGGGTAATAACGGCTATCACCTGTACGACATGTTCAGCATGCCAGGCCATTACCCTGTGCATGTACCTGTGGGTGTCCTTGCTCCCGCCCACCACTGGGGGAGCAGGCACTGTTATCATCCTGATTTTGTAAGTAAGTGAATCGAAGCAGAAGGATTAAGTCACCCACCTGCTCAAAGTCTCAGAGCAGTAAGCAGTGGGGCTGAGACGCAGAGCAGGAACTCTGAGGCCAGAGTACAGCTCTCCAAGCTCTGCCCCCTCTGAGAACAAGAGCACTTACCTCAAAGGGCTGTGGGGTGATTAAATCGGTTGATCTGTGTAAAGTGCACATAATACGTGCTCAGAAAAAACGTCAGCTCCCATCACCTCTCCCTCACTCACCGCGGTCTCCTGCAGGCTGATGTGACAGTCTGCATCAGGGGTCCTCAAACCTTTTAAACAGGGGCCAGTTCACTGTCCCTCAGACCGTTGGAGGGCCGGACTATGGTTTTAAAAAAACTATGAACAAATTCCTATGCACACTGCACATATCTTATTTTGAAGCAAAAAACAAACGGGGCAAACCCCCCCCCCGCATATAGCCCGCGGGCCGTGGTTTGAGGACCTGCTCTGCATCCTTGGTTTCACTAGCCGAAAGCACTCTTCCAGCACATTCCCTGTCCTTCTTTGCTTTAGAGCTATTATTATGTTTTTAATTTCCAGAAAGGACTTATGCCTCCTTCTCCCTAACTAGACCGGGGACTGTTCGAGGGCAGTGACTGGCCTTGCTGGTAAAACAGATACCCGGTGGCCCAGCCCCTGCGGGCGTTTCTTCCTCCTGGCTCGGTTCTGGGACTTTGGGAAGGTGCGTGGAGGCAGGAGGTCACAGCCAGCCAGTGGGCTGTGGACGCTCCCTGGGGGCCAGATGGCCACGGTCCTGCTCCAGGAGCCACTGAACACCCTGGGACCGAGGAGTCAAGTGAGGCCAGGCGCAGAGCAAGCAGTGCCCGGGTCTCCTGGGTCTGTGTTGAATGCTCCTTCTGCCACATCACCGTCACTTGTATTCCTAACACGCCGAGATGCAGAGACTGCCTCGGAGGGCTTCTTGGTGTGTCCCTAAATACCTCACTTGAGTGATTTCTGAAAACAGGATCTAGTAAAATGAACTCAGGCTTTGGATTCTGACCGTGTAAGGGGACAGAAATGCTCGGATCCCGGACTGCTTTGCTGTGGCCCGGCCCCATCGCTCACTGGCTGTACGGTCCTGGGCGAGTGACTTCCTGTCTTCATATTTCAGCTAACACACTTACAAAGTGTGTGTGTGTGGGGGGCACAATATTGTTAATTTCTCAAGATTAGAATTAATCCTAATTTGAGTTAGAACGAGATTTAAATGCCCTTGTGCATGGAAAGGGCTTAGGAGTAAGCGCTTACATTTCATAGCTGATGGGAGCCCGAGGGCCCTGGATTAAAGGCCCAGCTCTTCCACTCACTTATGTACCTTGGGGAAGGTTCTTAATCTCTTCTGTCAAAAGAATGTCTCCCACAGAGTCGTGCTGAGGATGGGCTATGGTAGAAATGGGTGTGATCAGGGGTTTAGACCAGGGCCAGGCACACAGACGGTCTCTAATCCAAAAGAGGCAGGGCAGCCAGGAGTCCCAGGTTCAAGTTCTAGCTGCGTAGTGAACCGGCTTTGTGGTTGGGGGCGACTCATGCCTCTGACCGGGACTTAGGTATCCCTGTCTTCCCCTCGTCTGCAAAATAGGATGGGTGCACTGGAGGCTCTCTCAGGCCACCTCCAGCTCTGGTGACTCATGGCACATCCAGCCCAGTCTTCCACGGCCTTCCAGAGGCAGCCAGTGAGCAAATCACACAATACAGCCGTCCCTCCCAGAGCTATGGCTTGGCTTTCCGTAGTTTCAGTTACCCACGGTCAACCATGGTTCAAAAATATTAAATGGAAAATTCCAGAAATAGACAATTCACAAGTTTTAAATTGCACAGTCTTCGGGGCAGCATGACAAAATCTCACACTCACCTGCCCCAGCCCTTTGTCAGCAGAAGGGTGAGTGCTGTACAAGAAGGTACTTTGAGAAAGAAAGTGACCACATTCACATAACGTTTATTATGGTATATTGTTATGATAATTCTATTTTATTATTGTTGTTGTTAATCTCTTACTGTGCCTAATTTATAAACTAAACTTTCATCACAGACACGTATGTAGAGGACAAAACATAGCGTGTATATATATAGGGCTTGGAGTGCGTGCCCGCAGATAAGCGGGGACTACTGTACATGCCTGAACACGCGTCCGCAGAGGTTCCACTCACCGAAGAAACAAGAGGAGGGTGAGAGCCAGGAAGAGGGAGACGAGAGAGAAGGAGTATCCCACGGTGTACATCAGCTGCAAGGTTGAGAGCAAGGCATAATGATCCACCTGAACACAGAGGAGAAACAGACATGACCACCGAGTCGTGGGGCTGTGACCCACAACCCCCAGCTCCATGCCCAAGGCCACCAAGGTCTAGGCATGGACTGAGACATGTCCTGGCCCCAAACCTGTGTTTAAATAACTTCCCCTCCCTGCCCTTGTTGACACCCAGGTAAGGTAGCGTAGACTCCCTTCTGGCACATCTCGGGGGGCCAGGGGTCCTCAAGGAGTGAGGAGCCACGGTGGGCCTCACCCCCAGGACTGGGCCACGGCCAGCACTGATACAAGAATTGCGTCCAGGACGGGAGGGTGCCTTGAGAATCAGGACAAGCTCTCTGTTCCTGGGAGTGCTGTACCTGGAGTTCATGGGTCCTTCTTTCTGGAAGATGCGGCTGGATTTCTGTCTGAATATCTCTCTCCTAAAGTAACTTTTCGTAGATGACCTCTTAGAAGAAGGTCCAGTGAAACAATGCACTATTTTCTCTGATTCCAGGGATAGCTTGATTGTGCACAGAGGATAATTTACTGGAAATTCTGTGTTATTAAGTATCATTTTGTGCTATTTTCATGAGAGATACTGGTCTGTAGTTTTATTTTCTTGCAATGTCTTTGTCTAGTCTTGGCCTCTGTGTAATCATGGCCACATAGACTGAGTTGGGAATTATTTTCACCTTTTCAGTTTTCTGGAGAGCTTGTACAGAATTGGTATTATTTTGTCACTGAATATTTGGTAGAATTCACCATCGGAGCCAAATAGATCTAAAGTTTTCTCTGTGAAAGAGTTTTTAACTACAATGCAATTTTATGAATAGATACAGTGCTATTGGGTTATCTATTTCCTCTTTACTGAACTTTGGTAGTTTGTTCTTTTAAAGAATTTGTCCATTTTATCCAACTTGTAAAAATTATTGGCAGAAAGATGTTCATAAAAATCCCCTATTATCCTTTTAATGTCTATAGGATCAGTAGTGATGTCCCATCTCTCACTCTTGATGTAATTCATGACTGATCTCTCTCTCTCACACACACACACATTTCTAATTCTTTCTCTTTTTTTATTAGTCTTTCTAGAAGTTTATTAAATTTATTGATCTTAAATAACCAACTTTGGATTTTATTGATTCTTTCCTATTTTTTTTTCCTTTTAATTAATTTAATTTCCATTCTTACCTTTCTATTTCTTTTCTTCTGCTTAATTGGGGTTTAAGTGGTTCTTTTCCATTTCCAGTTTCTTAAGGTGGCAGGTAGGCCATTGACTTGATACCTTTCCATTTTTCTAATATAAGAAGGCTATATATAAATTTTTCTCCATGACTGCCTTAGTTGTATCACAAATTTTTTGATATATTGTATTTTCATTTTTATTGAGTTAAAAATATTTATTGATTTCTTTTATGATTCTTATTTGATTTTAGGCTGTTTAGAAGTATGTTTCTAGTGTTAACATATTTGGAGATTTTTCCAGATATCTTTCTGTAATTGATTTCTGATTTAATTCTATCATAGTGAGAGAACATATTTTGTATGGTATTAAAAACTTTAAAGTTTTTTATTTTCTGAGAATTTTTTTTAAAGAGATAAGAATATTTACCCTCATTCCTTTATATAGATCACAATGCCCACGTGTTATGTTTTTACTTCTGTGTTAAGGACTTCCTCTAACATTTCTTATAGCGGTGGTCTGGATGCAGGACTCTCTATGTAGCTTTTGAGTTTTCCAAGTCAATCCCAACCATATTTCTATCTAGAATTATTTCCTATGGGCCTCATCGAGAACCCTACAAGCTGCCAGGTCTCTAACTAACTGCTCCTGTCTCTTCTCTCCTTACAACTAAATCTATCCTTCTAAGACCAGCAAAAACCCACCTCTTATAAGAAATCCTCCTCCAATGCCTCTCTGCTTATTTTATAAACTCTTATTGCCAAAGCACTTGTACTCCATTTCACAAATGGGGGTACCAATTAAATTAATGAATACTTTGCTTGCATTCATCTTGTCTTTCCAGATAGACTAGCAGCATCTTAAAAGTAGAGAAGTGTTTTGGGTACCTACACACACAGTGGTGTGCTTTCTTTAAATTGGTGTTGGCACATCAAGGTGGTAAATCAAGACTTTACTGGGTTATTTTAACATCATTTATTTTGTTTAATTTTATTAGAGATAAGAGACTAACATATTTAATTAGATAACCTAATTATTTGTTCCTGAATTATGATTTCTAAAAACATATGTCTGTATTTTATGCTTTCTAGGAACAAATTAGGGGAAATGTTTGGTTTTTATGTTTGTCTGTGTCTTAGTTTGAGTTTCTAAGAATCAGACGCTAAGAAAAGAATTGGAATGCAAGTAGTTTACATGGAAAGTGAAAAAATCTTCAGTAGGGGAAGGGAGAAGTTAGACCGGACAAATAAAAGACTCCCCAAGCCGGTTACCATGATGGGGAGCTAGAGTTTAATCCCACTCAGGAAGCTCTGGAAGCTTCAGGGTTAACTACCCCAAGACTGAGGGCGCTGGGGTATTTATATACCAACTCCTGCCAGTCATTGGTTGAGGGTACTTCAACCTACATTTCGGTAAACAAAGTGGGCTTCAGGAATCAATGAACTGCAAAGAAATGCATGTACTGGTTAAGAAGTTAGGCAGTTGTATACTGAATTGATTAGGGCAAGGGGACACAGGCAGGGCACCAATAGCACCTGCTACAGTTGGTTTAATTGTGTTTTTTATAGGATTTCCTGAAACTGTCCTCTATATTCAATTTAGGTCTCTATCAAAACCTGGCTACTTCCCTAGAAGCTCTAAAACATTCAGACAGTCTCTAGTTCACTCTTAGTACCAACTCTTAGATGAATCTCAAGTCACTTAGACACCTCTATGAAACCCTTCCTACCAAAGGTGTGATATGTGTCCATGAGGGAGTAGGCGCTCTCATGCATTGCGGAAGGAAGGACAAAATGGTATAACCCCCACGGAGGGGCCTTGCAATATCTAATGAGATTATATATGCATCTACCTTTAATCCAGTGATGCTATCCTAGGAATCTTCAAAAAGATATACCACCACAAACATATACATACAAGGTTATTCATTGTGATATTGTTATGAATAAAAGATTGGAAATAACCCAAAGGCCATAGGACTGTGGCTGACTAAACAATGGTGTAGATACACAGGTGGAATACTATGCAGCAGGAAAAAAGAGAGAACTGTTTCTAGGAACTGACACAGAATGACTTCCAGGATGTGTTATTAAGCGAAAAAAGCAAGATGCAGAATGGGGTATCTGCTATTACTGCTTTTTGTGCAAGAAAAATGGGGAATAACATATTTACATATTTTCTTAGTTTTGCAAAAAGAAACACAAGACATATGTTATAATTCAACAAAAAAAGAAAAAGAAAGGAAACAGAAACTGCGAGCCAGTGTGGTGTTAAGATACACATACACACACACACACAATGTTTTCATCCACAGTTCCTGGCTCATAGATCCCATAGCTCTTGCTACAGTAAACAGAATCTCTACCTTTGCCCTTCTCTTTCCTGTCCAAGGTGGGACTCTACTCTGATTGTGGGTTGGAAGACTCTCACTCCAGACAGGGTCTATACTCCCTGTATGCTGGAGTAAGGAATGTTGCAGAGAGGCCAAGAAGAATGTGAACAGACAGGGCTTGCTGGGTCTCCCCACTTAGTCAGTTAGCATGAGCCCACATCCTTTTACCCAATCACATTTCTGCATGGCTGTCAGTCATGCCTACCCAGTGAAGCCTCCACAAAACCCAAGAGGACTGAGTTTGGAGAGCTTCTAGTTAGCAGGTTCCTGGAGGGTGGACTGCCCAGGGAGGGCACGGAAGTTCCACGCCCCTTCACCCATACCTGGCCCTGCGCACCTCTTCATCTGTGTCCTTTGTAATATCCTTTATCATAAATGGGTAAATGTATTTTCCTGAGTTCTGTGAGCCACTCCAGCAAATTAATCAAACCTAAAGAGGAGGTCGTGGGAACCCTAACTTGAAGCCTGTTGGTCAGAAGTTCTAGAGGCTGAACTTGTGACTGGTGGGGGGAGCAGTCTTGGGGACTGAGCCCTCACCCCGTGGGATTTAATGCTATCTCCAGACAGAGAGTGGAGGAAGTGAATTAGAGGACACCCAGCTGGTGTCTGCTGCTTGGTGTACAGGAAAAAAAAACACCCATATTTGGCCACAGAAGTCCTCTTCTGTGATTATTGATGATTACTGTGGTGTGAAAGCAGAGGAAAAAATGGTTTGAGTTGTTTTTTTCCCTAAACAGCCAGAGAATAATAAACATTATTGTCTCTAGGGCATAGAGATGGGCATAGATAGGAAGAGGGTGATGGAGATAGTAATGAGAGTGAGATTTCTCCAAGTATACCTTTTTATAAAGTTTTGACTTTCAAAACCTGTCAATATTCTACATATTTAAAAATAAAATCAAAGAGGAAAGGGGGGGAAAGGCAATTATAATAGTAACGAGCACACCTAGCACTGAGATCTTGGTTTCTAACACCATTCCTCCACTTAAAGAACCCAAGACTCCTAAAGGAAACAGTTGATTCTAGGCCTGGAGCAGGCCTAGAAAATCTAAGATGAGCTTGGATCATTTTGTTGTGCCAGAAAATAAGGAAGCGTTCAAAGACTACTGGGTTATGACAAAAGGATGCAAGAACCAGCTTGAAGGGGTTTCACTAGTTAAATGTAGAAAACTTGGAGCATCAAAAAATAATGAGTACAACTGAATAAATCAATCTGAAAGCCCATAGTGAAACCTCAAAATGGGGTGGGTGAGGAGGTCGTCTTTGCAGAAGAATGCTGGCTAATAAAGGTGGAAGGAATAACAGAACTTGACTGAGGGCAAGAGTCATCAATGAAGGCTAAAACACTGATGAGGGTTTGCTAGGGAACAAGATAAACACACGGTACCAAAGTATTGCCCCACTGGTAACTTATCAAATAGAAAAGGAGAAATCTAACTTCAGCACTAAGTG